AGTTACCTTTGATCTGAGTGTAACAAGAGTACAGATTTTGACATCAAAACTAATTTGAAAGCCAACTATGCAGCAATACAAACTTGAAATCTCCTGTGCGCACACACTGAGAGTCGACTTAAGAACAACAAATATGTTGATTAGATTTAATCTGAAGTAGGAAATTTCTCTTTTTTTATCTAATCAAATGCAAGAAATGATTCCAAAAACAGCATTTTGTACATGTTTAAGTGTTGGAAGGGGAATCTTTAGTGTAATAAACACCTGTCAAAATTACAAAACTGCTACATTTCTTGCTATTGTTGTCAAAAATCTTAGTGCATGATAACACCGAAATGTTCTGCCGCAGTAAGTCATTCAGTGATCAGCGACACGTCAGGGGTATCTCGACAGAAGGTCAGAAAGCGCAGAAGAACATATTCATAACACTGAACGTTTTTCAGAAGCTACATTCCCCATACAGAAGCATACATAAGTGCATAAATTCAGACTTGACAAACATTGGCAATACAAGAAAAAGGGACAAAGAACTTCCCATCAATCAACTAACTGACGTCTATGTTTAAAAACATGTTGGCAATATGCTGACTTCTCCGAGGCTTGTGCTAATAGACTACGCTGTTAACACTGCACGTTACACCGCAAGTATCCGATGATCACAGCACCTAAATATTGGAGTCCACAAAGGATGCACTAATAGCTCACAAAGTCAGTTACTGATTGACAATTTAGTTTGTGTTGTTTAATTTCACATCATCTGACGACATCTTACTTGACTGGAAGCACTTCAAGATCATACCGAGCATCTGTGGAGGCGTTCGGAGAAAAAAGCAAACCTCAGCTTTAACGATTCAGTCAAACAAACAAACCGCACAGATGCTTCTTTGTTGATGTGTCACGCTGGCTTTTCACATCTCTGTTCTCATTTAGTTTTGAAAAAAAATATCTTATGGGAAAAAAATGATATTTTTATCTAAATCCTGTCAGACGTGTGCCTAAATTTAATGACATTAGAGGGCAAGGATACTTGATAGAGAAGTCTTTCGGGGTCCTGTCATGCATGACCCAATTTTTAGTACTAAAACTGGCTCGGCAAAGATCAGAACTGGATCAAAAGACACTGAAGTGAATGTGGGTTGAAGGCCCAGATCTACCGTCGTGTGAAAAACAGTTGTAAGTGCAGCGCCTCCTGATCTGTATGTGCAAAGACATCTGCTGGGACCAAACGAGCAAATACAAACAGGTGCAAGGGATTCATTTCAAGCCAACAACAGCATGGGTGCCACAAATAACATCTGAGCAGCCTACAGGTGGGAGTCTTCAAGTCACCCAGCAGCAGATTCAGCTTTTTCATTAAAATTTTCAAGGCAGTGATTGATCTCCATCTATCCGCCATTAAATATCTTAGTTTGCCCTTTATCTGAACCGTTAACAACACTGTGACACTGTATGGTTGAAAAGTCATATACATTTTAATATATTCAGCTGATCAGTAACATTAAGTACTGAAAGCTCTAAAAACTCTTTGTGCTGTCCTTATTTAACTTACTCATCTGTTAAGCCAATCAGAGCTCCTCAGAATAAAAGGTGATGGTGCGTACAGCCTCGTACGTTCAGTGGTAGAAAGTAATAATTACGTATTTTACACTACCTGTAAATACAGTGTTAGGTTTCTTGTACTTTACTAGAATTCAAAATATACCATGCATCTCAAAGGTATCCCATGGGTTTTATATACAGATATATATATATACACAGCTCTACACTTGCAAAGGCCGGGAGGACGAAGGCTACGAGCTAGCATAAACTGTACAGTGCTGTGAAAAAGTATTTTCCTCCTTTCCTGAGTCCTTTCTCAAAGATAACCCAAGTAAATACAGATGCACTTTATAAATTATAATTGCATTTATTAAGCAAAAAAAAAAAAAGCTATAGGAACCTAAGTGGCCCTATGTGAAAAAGCTAAATCATGAAGTAACTGTGTTTAACCACATCTAGGAAGTTCAGGGAGCAATGTAATAATATGATACACTGTTCTGCTGCCACATTAGATTCTAGACAGTGAAACACAGTCAAACAAACGTGATCAACAATCTTCTACTGCTGGGTGGCTTTAGTCGTCTCCCTGACTTTTTGCTGTGGCTAAGCCTTTATGCAATAAATAAATAAAAATGTAAAGATGCTGTCTCAGTTTAAATAGCATGCACACGCAACGCATTATAATCATATGTTTTGCACTCAAGCCCCAAAACACCAAGAAATGCATTAGCAATAAGGCAAAAGACACTATGAGCTGATCCAGGGGTTTCTTTCCAAGCACTGTTCTCTGTGAGCTGTTTGTAGTTCAGAAAAGAAGAATTTTACAGTTGCTGTTTGATCTACTCTTCAGTAGATCCGAGCCTTAACCTACAGAGATCAAAAATGTCAGAGCGTTTGCATGTGTGAGAGATGAAAGAGAGGCAGAGTGAGCTGAATGAAGAGGAGGACTCCTATGGAGGACTGCAGGGAATGACCTCGTCCACACTCTGACGTGTTTTCCTGCAAAGAGAGTAAAAAGTGAATCCTTTTGTTCTCCACAACTAATGACCCTGGAGTCTTACAGAAAGAAAATGTGTCTTAATCCTGACCATGCAATGGAACAATACCACATTATGTTTCTCAGGGGTGTCAAACCCTAATATTTAGAGAAATTATATTAAAGTAATTCAGTTTTACAAAAATAATTTATTTTAGCCTTAGCCAACGGTTGTGGGAGCATTAGGACTTTAGTTTAGGACATTAGGACATTAGTTCACTTACTATGCAAAAGCAACTGAATGGAAGAGCCACACATTGTTTTGGTTACTGCCAAATTTTCAACTTTAATCACTATCTAATATACCCCCTTAGTAGCAGGTCTCTATATTTTTTTTAAATAGTTGTCACTGGATAGTAGTTTAATTGGTTATTCTTGATAATTATTGTTTGTGTGACGTTACAAATATTTTTCTTCTCAGAATTTCCTATCACATGCTCAGGACTAAGACACAAAATGATTCCTTTGAATAATAACAGCACAGGCACTTACTAAGGCACTGTAGTCAAAGCAGGAAGTCGGGCCTTTACGATATCGTGTATTGTTCAATACTTCACACGGATTTTCCTCCTGAACTGTTGGTTGTTGGTTATGGCGGTAACAGCAAACATAAAAACACATCTTCTACCTCTACAAAAATGAAAATGTCAGAAGTGTTCGACAGCAGAAAGGATACACTCTGTTCTGACCTGGGTCAGTGTCTCAATCTCACACGACTGGCAGAGCAGTTTCTCGGCGACCACAAAAAGCAGGTTTGTGTTTTCGATCCTCTTTGCATGGAACAGTCTGTAGGAGACAGTGACAAGTATTTAGCCGGCTCCATATGGACCTCACAGGGCTGCGAGCTCATAAACACTGCAAACTGATTTTGCTGATTCTGTAGAAAACTCACCTGGAGCAGTTTCCACAGTCCTGCAGCATATTGTAGGAGTTTGTGGTGTTTGTGAAGTAGAACTGGCTTTGGATGGTCACACAGCTGCTTTCTTTAGTCTCAAAGCCTTCGATGAGGACATCAGCTAAAGAAACAAAAGCATGTTCAAAATCAGCTCATAACATAATGACATTATTTAAAATGAATTAAACACATGTAAGCAAAATTGTTTTTTGTGTAAACTGATCCAAAGCATGCTTAGTTGCAGTCGAACACTTACTTACTGATGAGGGGAAAATAACAAAGTAAGAATACAGTGAAATTCCTGAAAGTTTACTATTCATCCAATGTGTGTTTCCTTTCTTACTGTGCACCACATAAAACAATAAGGAATACATCAGTTCACATGCATGTCACCTTGATAGAGCCAGCTGTTATAGGCCAGTCCATAAAGAAGCTGCTGAAACACAGACCTGAAAAAGACGTTAAAGAAAGAAAACATCGTTCAATAACAGTAAACTAAGAGCTAAATTAAAACAGCTCAAAATAACCGTGCAGGAGCTGTCGAACACAAAAAATGTAAAATCACTTTCATGTACACAGCAAAGAGTGTTTTAAAAAGACGTAAGAAGTAGATTTCAAATGATTTGCTGCAAATAAAGTCTCACCATGCCATTGTTGATGTCCACCACGCCAAGCTCAAGACATCAGCAATGGACGGCTGGAGAGACAGAGAAAATTAAGAAATGAAGGCAAACGTCTCAGACTGTCTAATCATTCAGAGTTTGACGGCCTGATGTTGTCTCTTACCACAAAAACACCTCTCGGTGCTGCGCCAGTGTGGCTGCTGCTGACTGGCTCACATGCAGACTGGTACTGGAAAGACTGCCGCCGAGTGAAGATTGAATTGTTGTAGAGGGCATACATCAGGGGAGCGTCCACATCGCCAAAAAAAACACCAATCTGTGATATTTTTTTTAAAAAGAAGGACAATAAGACAGTTACAGGGAGCAATAAAAACATGAGAATAATGGCTCAACACTGAGCTCAAAATTATAGAAGCTTTGCATGATTCACAGATTTAAAAAATCCCAAATCACTTTATATTTCATAGTGCCAAAGTTGAGCTGTTGCCTATCAGTTCCTCTTTTTTTTTGATTGATGAACCCCTCAAATTCATCCATATATGTTTGAGTCTGAAACCGCTACAGGATAAAATATCCAGAGCAACAAAGACTACAGCTAGGCCTCTCCGTACATGATACTAAACTATACACGATGATTACTTTATTTGGTGATACAAGGCATAAAAAGATCCAATGAGTAGGTGCAGGGAAAGAGATAAACTGGGGATGCAAGTAGAAAACGTCTGCTCCAAGAAATACTAAAGGTGATTTAAAATATAAATTGTTATTTTCCTGCAACCATACTATAGGTTTCTTTTATATACTGAAAGAAATTGATGATTATTGCACAAATCAAGCAGAGACTTTTTAAATCACATCTATAGAGCAAGAGGATTGCAGTTTGATCAGGTGTGCATGCTGTGTCTGTGACAAACGCACTGCTGCTCCTCACTAAAGTGGAAAGAAGTCCCTGGAAACCACTGAGCTTCCTGTTTCACAGGAATTAGTTTTACATAGATGTCCTTCGTAATTTAAAATACTGGCAATGATTGGTTTGTTACAGGAAAAGTCCCAGTAGCTCATTGCCCAGACTTTTTATCATCACTTGCAGTATGAGGTCTTTAAAACTTACTCTAAAACTTACGAAAATCCCAAATTTACATTTTCTACCTAAATCCTCATTTTCCACTGGGCTGCATCAGAGTCTTTGGTGTGCCGAGTCTTATGTCTTATGTTTGATACCCCTGCTATGGATGACATGCATCATAAAGGGTAGACACATTACAGCACATAGACATACCTTTTGGAAGTGATCTGCCTGATTGGACATAACCAGGAACCCACCATCATCAATGAGATAGCAGCCGAGTTCCTGCAGAAGACAGTGTGGGTGCAGCAGAACACAGGAAGAAAGACAAAGTTTGGTCTTACTAGAGCGAAAACAGACAGTTAAAAATCAATAAAAGATGTAATATGTGTTATTATATTCTGGAAAATATTGAAATGTATTAAATAATATGGTAGAAGCATTTGTCATTGCAGTAATTTGCATTTAAAATCATGTGTGAAGGTCTCCTTAAGGCTTGGGGGCTGTGACATGAACTGTCAAGCATTCAGCTGACAGCAGTTGAAGTTACAGGCTGATTCCCAACAGTTTATAGAGAAAAAAGAGAAGAAGTAAAAACATTGTAGCTTTAAAAAACAAAGGTTACATTTATGGCAACAACTCATGAGTGAGCTCTTATGAGCTTTAATCACCCTCATAACCATTTACATGCAGCAGTGTGGATTATGTTAATCACGCTGGACATATTTATAAGAATTCCTTTTTTCTGTGAGTTGCCTGAAAGAGAAACAAGCAGCAACAACAGTTTTCTTCTGGGCTACAAACTGTGAATGACGTGAAATAAAAGGCCAGTCTATCACCACTGAGGGACCTTAGATTGGTCATTAAACTGATGGCACTGTCCTGCTGCGGCGCAGTGACAGAGTGAAATAAAGAAAAGTGCTTACATTTGTGTCCATCTCGCAATCCATCTCGCAACTTCTCAGAGGTCCACACTGCTTAACAAAATGAGACCATGTGAGATTTTTGTTTAGGTGAATTTGGTTTTAACAGGTGATTTAGACTCAGAATCTGTACCTTGTGTGAGCCCTGCCGGCTGTCTGACATGTTGCTGGCCAGGATTTTGAACTTATCCACCCAAGCTTCCAAGTCCAGCTTCCCACCAACCACTGCAGGACGACATCCACAGGATCAGAGTAAAAAGGAGAACGGGACGAGAACAGGAATCACAACAAACCAAAAACCCCAATTTCATATGTATAACAGACCAGATAAAAATCTTACCTGCAGGTCTGAGCAGTTTTCCTGCTAAATTAACCTCCACAGCTGAACTAACCACAATTTCACTCGTCCCATTTTCTGCTCCAATGGGGTCATCCAAAGCTGGTGGAAATACACAGACATGAAAATAAGAAAATTGGCCAAGATCTTGGGATTAAGATGTTGCATAAACGTTCTATGAAACACGATTAAAGTATAGGTAAAGGTAAAGTAATGACACCTGAGAGAGTTTCCATTTGAGTGATTTCCTTAAAAATGTTTTTTAAAACCTAATTCAGTGGCAGGCGGCCTCGAAATAAACATCAAAGTTGAAGCAGAGAAGCAACTTATATTAGCTTTGCACTAAGTTAGGGAACTGAGGGAGCCTGTCTCTGCTCAAATGTAACAAAATGTGCTTACCAGCATGTGTAATGCTCACTATTTTAATTATTTAAAATAGTATGAAACATAAAAAAATATAAGCTTGAAATATCAGCTGATGCCAAGCTCATGATTACCCCGACTCACCAGACAAACTATTGTTTTAGTAACGTTTACATCAGCGTCTCCTTTGAGTCAGTGAAGTCTTGCTGCTTAGTTACTCACAGGATCTGAGTGTAGATCTGAACATGTAGCCTTTGTTGTCGAGGCTCCGTCTGTAGAAATTTGAATTGAAGGGTTCAGGGTCCTCATCCCACAACTCGGCAGCTCTACAAAAACACGTGAACACAACTCATCAAAAGTTTTCAAGTGGAAAGCCGTACGACTTTATTTGTCTGCTTGAATAAGTAATTACTTTTATCACTCACATGTTGGGAAAAACTCGTGTTATTCCTCCGTCTGTGGATGCAAATACAGCTAGGAAGCCATACCTGTAACATTTGTTACTTCTTCAGCTCTAGTTTTGCACTATAGTAGTTTACACAAAAAACAACAACAACAATAAAACCAAACTTACGAATTGAGGTCCTTGTTCTTCCATACACGAGAAGCAAGCTGCCCGATGATCCTAGAATCAAAAATCAGGTTGTGGATCAGGCCATGGTCACCTGCAAAATATTTTTAAAAAATGTGGTGAATATCTTATCGGTGTGTCTACAGCAGTGAGATATTTTCATTCTGTTAACACACTCACACTCATCAGATTCAGGGGAGAGGTCAAGCATGAGAGACAGAAAGTTCTGCAAGAACTGGGTGTTGTTGTCAGAAAGCTGCAGACGCTTGCAGTATTCCCTGCGGACACGGCAGCATAAATAAGCACCTTCCTTTTACTGAAGAATGAAATCATGACAGATGAAGATAGTCACCTTGGAGCTAGAAACACGTGCCCTGATGATTCAAAGGAGCTGGGCAGCAAAGACTGCATATCTGTAACACGAAAGAAGAGAGAGTGTGAAATGCTTCTGGTTTCCTTGGATGTAAACCCGAACACCCTGCCTCCATGTACTCACACTGGAGCTGCAGCATCACATCGCTCAGATCTGCCTTGATGAAGTACTCATTGTAGGGTGGTAATACCAGACCGAGACTGCAGGTGGCAGCATCCCGACAGGATTCCAGTATGAATGGGGGATACAAAAAGATGGTGGGTCTTAGAGTGAATCAATCTGTGCCTGCAGGCCTCACTGGGCCACAGCTGGTTGGTTTTTATTTATGATTCATGACTCTGTATCCGCTCACCTGTAGTCTGTTCCATTGATAGGAGTCCAGGTGTAACCCCTGTAGACCTCATCGATGTAGCGCTGCAGAGGTAAAGAATTTCAATAAACATAAGAGGCAAAGCTAATAAAGTACAGTGATCAAAGTTTAAGCATTTTTACCTTTCAAAAACTGTGTTTGTTATTTGTCAGACTACTGCAGCCCAGCCTGGGTTGTACATTGTAAAATGAATGTTCACGTTTATGTTTCTACACACAGTCCAAGTCCACATAACAAGCTCCTTTAAGAATTTGATTAACTTAGATCACCAGACTGTCAGCAGTTTCTGCAGATAGAGTATGAAATTTGCTCAAATATACCTAATTTTTTATTAAATAAGAGTTGGACCTTATATAACCTAAAACTATTAACTTAACTATAACTTTATTATTTTAAAAACCTGTGAATTAAATATCAATACCTGCAAGACTTCAGCCACTTATTTCAGCATGCAGGAATGGTAATATGATGTGATCGTATAGGCTAAGCAGCTTATCTTTAACATACAGTGTTTACATAAAGAACAAAAAGGTAAAAAAAAAGAGATAAAACATCCCCATGCCCCATACAACACAGAAATATACCCAACTGTCAGATAGAGCCCGCATAACTAATAAATAAATAAAACAAATGCACATACAGATAAACATAAAGGAAAAAGCACTGAGACATCAGCAGGCATTTAAGAGAAGCAAGAGCCCAGGTTGGTACAAAAACCTCCTACTGGATAATCAGCCGTAAATAATCAACATCATAATAGGAACTTATAGACCAAAAACAGTTTTGATTGCTTGCAAGGATAAAAAAAGAGTCGGACACATTTAAGCTGGATTTTTGCTCTAAATAAAAACACTGTTGTTGGTTACAGTTCTAGGTCTATTTTTTAAAATAAAGTGATTTAAAAAACCATGTAAGCAGTTTGTTCATGGACCCACCACACAGCACTGTAAATTTATGAGTATGAGTCATCATGACACACTGGAGATGACAGCTGACCACATGTGTTAAACTCCTCATAACTGCTACAGACCAAACTAAAGAGGAAATGCGTGCAGACATTCAGAAAGAGAAGTGACTTGCCTCGTCAATCGACAGTACCAGAGTTTTGATCTGCATTTCACCTGGTCTTCCATCAATCATCTGTCGGCGGATCTACACGATGGAAACACAGAGCAAAGTTTTTCTCTAAATCGGCCACAGATGTGTTCTCATCGACTTTCAATGACCTACACAGACAATTTATCCTGCTGGGCAGATTCTCTTCAGGAGGAAACATGTTGTTCACACAATTACTAAGTTTGAACAACAAAGAATACAACAACAGAAACACTACATCCAGATGAACAGAATTACTTTTGGGGATTTACTTACCTGGATGATTGACCATGCATCAACAACACAGCTCTACTTGTTCCTCACCTCTTCTTTATTGCTGTCCTCCAACTCTGCGTCCAGGAAGTCCAGCGTCACAGGTTCTGGCAGATTCACAAGCTGAGAGGAGTTGAGGGAGAACGCAATATTAACACATAGACTTATATTATTAATTATTCATCATCACTGATGCTTATAACCCAAACCTAAAACTCCCCCACCCTCCAACTTTCTTCTTCTTAAAGCAGCTCCCCACAGAATAAATAAAGCATTTTACCAAATTAAATAGATTTGAATCACCTTTGGCTGGAGATTAGGATGAAGGAGCAGGTATCCGTTTGGATCAATGGCAAATATGTATCCGTTGGCCCCGAGCTGTGACAACCACAGAAAAAGAAGGAATAGCAGTGAAGAGCTGGTCTTCTTCGTCCATCTCAGCTTATAAATAAGAAAAATGTGACTTATGCACATACATTGTACCGCGGTGTGAGTCGCTTTATCTCATCAAGATGCACGTCGACTCCCATGACACCTAAAATCAGCTGATTCTTGTGAAAAAAAACAAAACAGCAGCCGTACATTTAGTCATTTAAATAAATTGCTTATATATTGTTTCTATTCAAACTAGTTGTCACACTTTAAATGATGTGCTTATTTGCTTTTCCTGATGAAGCTGGAAGCAGCAGCCAATTAGAAAACTTTAGCAGCAGAAAGTCACCTTACCCGTATGTAAACGTGTCCTTTCTATACAGACTGCTTCAATCACATGTAATATATTAGTAAGTATAGAAGCATCCTGATCACACTAATATTTGTTTTTGCCATACAAACATTAGTAATTGTAAATAATAAGTGATATTACACACTAGAGTTAAAGTCTGTATTTGTTCACTAACACAAAAGAAGAAAATAAGTAACTCGCAAAACCATCTCATCCACCTAAGCTCAAATATAATTATCCTGTTTTGTTACCTGTGAGTTTCCGTCCATGGTGAGATTAAAAACAGGCAAAGTCCCAGTTACTACCATGCCAAGACCCTGCAGAGCGCAAAGATAAAGTCCCAAAACATTTATTAGAAATTATATGAGCTTATTGTGTATTTAATGGATTAGGTATATTTGATGAGCTCATGCCGTCTCACCAGAGCATCCTGATACACATTGGTCCACTGAACCTGCTTGGCTTCGCTGCCTGCCAGAACCATGGGGCGTCCCAGCACGTCAAGGTACTCCTGACAAAACACAGAGATACGTGACAGGACGCAGCTTGAGAACAACCAACAACATCAGGCCTCTGGGAGAAAAGGCTGAGCAAACAAATGAGCATAGATGTTTCTATAGGACGAGCGAGTGCCACAAAGAGAATGAGCAAACAGGGATCATCTGTATTAGAGGCACTAGACAAACCCACCTGGGTGTTAATCCTTATAGCGCAGATGGAACGGATCTCGAAATAGTAACCTGGCAAGCGACGAAGAAAAAAAGACAACCAGCGAGAGAGAGACAGAGAGAGAGAGAGAGAGATTGGAGATGTGTGAGCGGTTCTTTCAACAAAAAAAAAAAAAACCAACAACACTGGAGTGGTGCTCATAAATATTCTAGATTTGACTGGATGATACTAGACCAGTGACTCAGCCTTTAAAATCCCACAGGTAGGAAGCTAAAAGAGCTTAAAGAAGAAAACTACTGAGCTTTAACACAGAGGTATCTATATTCATGAAATTCAGTCAAGACCATTCAATCAGCTGGAAGTCTAAAATCTCCAATGACTGATCTCTTGATGGGATGAGGACTGAGACTGTTCAGTCCTCATCCCATTCATTGTTTCAAATTATCCCACATCCATATGTTTGTGTCTTCCTAACAATAATTCCAAACACATAAAAAATGTATTGTGCATTTTTAAATATTCTGGATGTCTTCCTGAAAACACAGCCTGACATATTTATTGTCTTTGCAAACTTTGCAAAGGGATTTCCTAGATTTTTAAAGAATTTGTAATGAAGATGTGAAGGTCAAAGCAGTGAGACACTGAGAGTTTAGCTCACAACGTTTAACGGCTAACAAAATATAACACGTGTTGCTCAGCTGATCTATTTTATAAAACCATCAATTATTCAGTCAAAACTAGCAAACCAGGAGGACACTGACAAGGCTTTTTCTCTTGGGTCAAAATATCACTCGGCGGGCATGAATTTTTCAAGGCGCTGGCAAATGCACCACATTCCCCCACGTTCGCGCCAAAGAGGTTTTCAGTGTCAGTGAGTAACTGTTGGGCCTTAAAATATCTACACAAACAAAACTGTGGTAGCGACCTCTCTGTGAGGACCAGCACCTCCTTAAAGTCAAGTCCTCTAACAGGATCAGTGTGTTTTACATTATGCTCGGTTATTTATTGGTTCTATTCTTATTTATTCCCATTCTTACAGATATTGATGTTTAGGATTTCTTATTCAACTCATAACAACGAGTAAAAACTTCTTCATGCAGCTGTTCCCTTTAAGGATGACCACTGAGGATCATTTGCCTCCATCTCACCCTATCCCCATTCTCTTCTGTCACACCAACCCCTCTGCATGTCCTTCATCACTTCATCCATGAACTGCCATCAGTCGTCCACTTTTCCTCCTGCCTGGCAGATCCATATTTAACTTTGTCCAGCATAGCCACTATTCCTCCTCTGCACATGTCCAAACCATCATAGCCTTGTCTCTCTAACTCCATCTCCAAATTGTTTACCCCGAGTTGTCCCTCTGATGTCATCATTTCTAATTCTGTCCCACCCGGGCAATTACGATGACAATCTCAGCATCTTCAAGTCTGACACCTCTAGCTCGGCCTCCTGTATTTGTGTTTGTGCCACAGCAGGCCTCACTACCATCTTATAAAGCTTCCCTTTCACTCTTGCTGTTGTCAGTCACAAATGACCCCTGATTTTCATCTCCACCCACTCTAACCTACCTGCATGTCAGCTGCTTTGAATGCTTGACCCATGGTTGACCCAGAGTGTCAAGGTAAGTTCATCTAGCCAAACATTGCACACATTTCAGTGCTTTTTCTCGGCATGAAGCCGCAAAAAACAAAAAAGTAGTAAAACTACAAATATTTTTATTTATCATTACTTTTTTTTTTATCAAGTGATCCACAGAATACATCATCTAAAAACAGTTTTTAATTTTTAAGTTTTTAAAACCATGGACTGAATCCTTTTGTAGTCTACAGTATATGAAGCTGAACTCACCTTTATTGGTGCACGCAATCCATTGTAAGGGTGTGACATCATAGTTATGCTGGCCCACGGAAAAGGTAAATACTCGAACCTGACATGGGTGAATAGAGGAAATGTCAAATTAACTGTCATAGGGTGATTAGACACTACAGAAACATCCTGCTCGAATGCAGGAGGTAATTTAGAGGTGTCTGATTTACACGAGAAACTGACCGTTTTGTTGGGCCAGTTGTATTGCATGAAAACATCCTGAGCTCGGTCCTCTCCTCCGTCAGTAAACAGCATGATTATTTTATTGCAGTTAGCCCGGGGGACATTTGTTTTCTGAAAATTAGGAAAAAACAAAATGCACGTGTCAGTTAATGCAGTAAAACTGCATGCAGAACCTTTATTTTATCACATAATGCCAAGTCAAACAAAATCAGTATAGATGACTTGCATTTAATAGCTGATTGAAGGCAAAGTGAAATCCAGACTTGTAGTCAGTGGTGCCTTTAGCCTGCATCTGCTGCACTGCATCCTTGAAAATCTTTTTGTTGCGCACATTAGCCTGGACTAGATGGCTAAAGCAAGGGACCACAGCCACAGCTTTCTCATTAAACTGAAACACAGGAGCAGACGCAGTTTGAAAACAACAGGGGAAATTATGGAAAACCAATGTTCAGATTCAGTAAGTGTAGCATATGCTAACCCTGGCCACATTGACGTAGTCATCATCGGATAAAGTGTCCAGCATTTCCATCACTGACGCTTTGATCAGTTTCAGGGTGAGTCCACTGACACTGCCACTCCTGAGGAAACATCAGAATAAACAAGCTTAAATAAATACTTGTGTGGAGACAAACAAAAGGCAAGAAGATAATTTTGTATGAGGGAATGCAAAATAACGCATTTATGTGTCAAGAGTATTAACTAATCCGAAAGGGTTTGGCTCAGATGTAGTTTAAACTCGCAAAATGGTGCTAAAGACAATCTAATTTTATCCATTTTTATGCCAATCGACAGTTGTGGAGAGCATAGTCTGACTCAGGGGTGTCAAACTTCAGGCTCAGGGACCAAAATTGGGTCAGCAAACACTTTAAAATAGCCCACTGAATGAATTTGGAAAATGTGAAGGAGGCCATAGATTATGGAATTTCAGGTGTATTTTCATACGTTTTACACCAAAGCATTCATACTATACCAAAGTAATTACAATAAGTGATAAATAAACAATTGAATGACAAAAAAAATCAGTTTTTTCACTACCTACTATGAAAAAAAAATTATTTTAACAATGTTTATACCACAAGTCAACAAAGACTGAAAACCTGAGACCTGCTGCTGAAATTGCACCTTTTTTTATACTGAGGTATCTCAGGGATTAAACTTCTTCACACTCACAGGAAGGGCACTTTACTGGTTCAGCCCACAGGACACAATGCACTGCTGTGCCTGATACAAGTATGTCTGGCAATATTCAATTCAATTTTATTCATATAGCGCCAAATCACAACAACAGTCGCCCCAAGGAGCTCAAAATAAAAACTCAACAGAAAAGTTCTGCACTGTAACTGTAAAAGTATCCCTCAAAGTGAAGATTTTTTTTTCTTGAAAACTTTCAAACTCTTTTTGTGAGCCAGGTTTAAAATAATTCAAGAGGCCAGTTTAAAAAGAACAGAATAATTCATAATGCCTCCACTAAAGTCTCCAGTAGTGCTGCAAAATCTCTCCTGCTGCAGCGATTGATCGGCACTGATAAATATATTCAGTGGTTATATAATGGTACTTTTCACTTCTTTACTTTCCACTTCTGTTTTAATTTTGTACAGTTTGCATTCAACAAAACACAAATTTCGGCAGTACTAGTGGAAATGTGATCTCAAAAACTACAGTAAAATATGGCTAAAAGATAAAGCTCATGAATACTGCATGGAAGAATAGATCTGAAAATTTGTTTTTGCATTTTTTGCTATCCTAATGTACACGTGATGAGCAACCAGGTTTCAAACTTATGAAAGATCGGCTGATTTCCCACATTGAGCTTAACAATGGGATTAACCTTGCAGTAAGTACCAATGAAGTATGTCCTTTTACCAAAATAGCAACCATGGGAACAGCACAGCAACAAAAGACTGCTGTTCTCGAGCGTGAGTTTCGCTCAGCAAAAAAAAAGCAAAACATTAGTGTCTGCTCTGCCATACAAATACAAATGTTTCTGATTAAAGCAATACTTGAAAAACATTTATGAAATATACAAATTTGCAGATGACAAAATGATGCTACAGCCAACAGCTTGTTGTTAAACAAAATACCAAAAACAGAGAGCAAAATACCTAATCGAGTTTTGCCCTAAGGCAGAAGGATTTTACAATTAAAGCAGTATTTCACACTTTATCCAACATAGTGCAAATCATGCTGATGAACATGTTCCAACAGAAAGGCTCACACAGTGAAAAACAACCAGGCTGGATGTGCGGGAAGTTAAAACAGGTACTTTAAATTGCCAGGGGTGAGGGGAAAAAATCTATATAGTCTATGCGCATTTTACGATACATTATATCCATACAGGGACACCAAATATTGATATTTTGTTGCATAAATTAAAATACTCTGGGTCTACAAACTAGAGGACTCATCACACCTGTAGGAGGTAATCTGTCTGGAAACAGTTGCAGTCTGACTTGGACTGACCGCCATCCCTTTTTCAAAGGTTTGCAAATAACTGCTGTTTACTCAGAGTGCCAACATGTTGCCATCAGTATGAATGAGACTTTATCAATAAGCATAACTCAAGGGGACTCGACTCAGGTAGCTGCTGGCTGGTTGTATTCTAGTTACATTCCTATAAAACAGGAAGATGAGTGCAAATCTAATAATTTTCCGTCTCTGTAGACTTTAACAGATATGTGATTTTCTATGATTTATCACAGTTGCTGTATTATCAGAAACAGATTGCAAGTATTTGCCAACTTGACCGCATTCAATCACAACTGATATCAGACTGACTGTCAACATTTAGCAGGTTTTAGTGACAGCTTGAACATCTCATTTTGCAGCAAAAAAATAAATAAAAATTGGATTAAACAGATAATGACAAAGTTTAACTTTGAGGACATAACGTGTTTAAAAAAGGTGATAAATCCTATGGATATCACAAAATGTTAAAAATTGCAATAATATTGCATCATCAGAAAGTGAAAATGTGGTTAATAAAACAACAACCGAAGGGGATCATAAAGCTCTAACCTTCAAAATTAAACAGGGAGCAAAATGAAAGAAGGGCAGAGGTGAAATTTGCATGGTTAACAGTGAGAGGCACACCGAGAAAAACTCAGGAGGGGCATAAGAAAAGTAATGAAATTCAGTAAAACGACTGGATGTTACAAGAAAAATCCGAGAATCAAGATAAAAAATAAAACACATGGGCAGAAAAAATTTCCTGGACTGTCTGTACATTGCCAGTCAGTCTAGCCTTTGCTTGTGTCCAGCTGTGATGCTAAACTAAGATAACAATAAGAAAAGTGAATGTTCATTCTCTGAATGGGTCAAAAGGAGTTTAGCAGAAATACTCACACGTCAACAAGGATGACCATGTCTTTGGGGGATGAGGCACCCTGGATGTACCTGTGGGGAACAAAAAAGAGTACACAAAACTTCATCTGCTTCAATCCATTGCATGCAGCCCACATGTAAACATGTTTAAAGCTGGAACGCATACCAGGGCCTCCTCCTGACATCATACAGGTCAATTTTATCAGGAGCTTTCCAGGGTGTTGCTGCAAAAAAAAAAAAAAACAGAAGAAAATATTCACATCATAGTATTTACTTTGACTTTGGCTTATTCACCTCCTACCTGACAGCTGGAACCTAAAAACTAAAACCTACCTGGATAATAGCGAGTGACTCCTGTCGCGCTCCCAAATGCTTGCCACAGCAGTGACGGATCCTCTCGACTATTCTCCATGAAGACTTTCTCCAACGCTTGCGTCCAGTTCAGTTCGTTTAGAATGACGGGAGCTAATCAACAAACAGTAAAATGTTTTAAATACACACCTTAACCTTAAGCTAATTGCAAACATGTCTTTACAGACTGGGGACTCTACTTACCTCCTTTATAAATATCTGTGGGAATCTGAACAGCTGTGTAGGAATAGTTGACATTATTCTTGAAGTTTGGGTCATACACAAACTCCAGCTTGATGTGAGAGGGATTTTCCACCTCTCCTTCTCCATCCATGGAATACTACATGAACAGGAAGACAAGCACATGAAGCACAAACACAAACACATTTCTCTCCCTAATATTAATACTGTAGTTGAGTCAATTCAGGCTATATCAAGTAAGTATAAGCCAAATACAGTGGAACCTCGGATTGCGAGTAACTTGACCTACGAGTAATGAGCAAAAAACTCATAGTCAGTGACTTATATAGAAAATACCTTTAAAAATGATTTTTATGTGAATATTTTGGGAGCTTAGAGCAGTCCATCAATCATTTCTCATGGGGAAAATTCTCTTTGACATACGAGGGTTTTGGTTTGCGAGCAGCAACGAATCATACTCATAAACCAAGGTACTACTGTACTTAGTTTTTTTTTAAAATAAAAGTTCAGTTTATTTGTCCCTTACTCACATAATCCAGCTCTGCCTTGGAATCATAATAAGCCATGTCCAGCTCCTAGTAGAGAACAGATGGAGATATTAAGAGGCTGCAACTGTGAAACAGTTTGAGGACAAGTAATCATATGCATGCATGTATCAAGTCTGTCTCTGCACAGTTCTTCGTAAGCGTAGCCATGACTTAGAATGCATGTTCATTTAAAATGATGCCCATCGAAAGTCCAAAACTGCATTTTTTTAATACAACAACCCTGTTTCAAAACAAACAAACAAAAAAACCCAAATCAATGTCTTTTTAATAATTTAAGTAATATTTTTGAAAATTATATACAGTTTAGAATTAAATGTGGTCCGATGCTGCCGAAATAAACAAGGCCACTCACTGATGAGCACACTTGTGAACATTCACTCTGAGATGAGTTTCTTTCAGCTATCTGTAAGAGTGACCTTCTCTGTTCTTTATATTTTATAAAGAGCGGACAAGCCACATATACATGTTCATGATTTAGAGTTGTGCATAATCCTACTAAATCTGTATTTATTGTTCACATTCTCAGACATGCAAGTCACTCATACTTGCATACAACCCCCGTACGAGCATGGATGCCGTACGTGTGCTGATAACTAGCTGGATGGTCAGAAATGTTTTCTATATTGTCTGAAGTTTCAGGAACTTGCTGAAATGCTTTTTTTATTCATGGTAGGATTTCAGCATGCTTTTGTGGATAAATCATCAAAAAATTCCAAGGCAGTCTCATTTCAAATACTGTAAAATGCCTTTATTCTTATAGGATGGTCAGGTTTAACTTAACAAGCAAAAAACCCCAATGCATTTTAGCAGGCAAGCCTTGTTATAGTTGTTGCTCTTAGTTAAATGTAGATGCAGAGACAGTGTTAGCAGACATGTTGAATCACTGAATCACATGACTATAGACCATGAAATGCCACCTAATGATTTTCTATTGTCGTTGACTGAATGGATGTTAACTAACAACATTACACAGTATTTAAACAGACCAAAGGATGTGCTATGGAGGCTTTTTCAGTCCTCCTTAAGCAAGTGTATAACTGGGTCAAAGGGAAGAAAACTGTTAAATTATAAAATAAATATTTGTTTTTTTTCAAACACATTATTCAGAAAAAGGTTGTTTGTCTTAATCTGGATCATGTTTTTTAAAATAAAATCAATCCCAATTTTAAATTATTGTAGTGTACAGCAGGGAGAAAATAAAATTATTATATCTTATAACCTTTAAAGAGAATAAAGGGACTTTGCATACATCTGTATTTAGAAAATTAACAGACAGAAACATTAAGGTACACGCCAGCAGCTTTCACCCAAAGTGGCTTAAAGAAAATTTCCCTTTTGGTCAAATCTAATGAGTGAGGACAGTCTGCACCCAGGAAAAGGATTGTGAGGCTAAATCTAAGGAAATAGCGTTTGAAGGAACATAGATATAGAAACACTATCCAACACCTGGACACACAAACCTTATTTAAAAGAAATGTTCCAAAACTAATAAAACATGAATTAGTCTTGGGGAAAACATACAGTACAGAGGCAGAGACAAGTAAACATATAATGACGGGAATTGGGGTATTATTGGGAGAGACGATGTAATGACCCAGATCTCCTCTGAACCACCATTGATCAGTTTTAGGAGGACTCTTATCCTACACAACAAACTGGTACACACCAATCAACAACCAGACTCCCAGGAACATGGCCGTGCCCAAAACCTAGAGAATCCTGTTTGATAAATCACGAAGTTCTTTCGTGACTTAGCCCATGTGTATCTTTTCCAATAAGCACCTCAAATAGAAGCAGTTTGAATCCAGGGATTTGAGACTTTGTTGTTCTCTGTCTCTCGGTCAGGCCCCTCTCCAGGGTGTACCCCACCTCTTGCCCAGTCACAGCTGGGGGGGACAGGCACCAGCTGTTCCGAGACCCCAAGCTGGATGCACGGATCCAAAACATTTTTTCCCAGAGAGGAGTTACAGCCCAAAAAAAATTATTCCTCCATCCATAAAATGTTAACAAAAAGCACAAGAGCTTTCCAAAGAAACACTTTCATCTAAACAGCAGCCAAAAAAAGCACAGAAGTCTTTAGTTTAAAACTACATTTAAAAAAAAAGGAAAAGCTGCATTTGTGATGCTGTAACCACCAAATGTTTCCTATTGTTCGGTACTGTTTTCTGTTCAGCACTCTCACATTATGAATCAGTAGACAGGCTGTTAGGCTTGTGTGGAGCATCGCCATCTGTTACTGTCTTTACTTCAGAGTACGCGTGACATCTACGCTGAGGTGGATGTGTTCCTATTTTTGGCCTGTTCTGATTACCAGATTTGATCTCCAAAGAGCGCCTTAGCCTAAATCGAGCTTAACATGACAACTCCATCAGTCTGCCGTTAGTCATCCTGTTGTTAGTAATATAAAGTTTTAGCACCTCTGAAAACACCGAGCTACCAGTCAGTGTTCTTTTTCAGTCAGTCCAAAGAAATGATGCTGCTCACCCACCATGTTAACTTCTCCTATGAGCTCTGCTTCTTCTAACATTAATCTGTCAGCAGCGATAAAGGATAGTTTCATTCATATATGATAAAAAAGGAGACGTTTAGGATTTACTCAGATCGTCTCTTCAGTCTGTCTCTTTCTCATCATGCCCTCACCTTTATGTATAACAATATGCTTGTTCCTATCTTTGCTAAGAGACAGATGAGAAGATGAGTATCACTCTTATATCCTTCTGCTAAATATAGAGCTCCACGCTAAGCAGGCTGGGTTGCTCAGCTTAGCATACATACTGGTTATAAGTGGAAACAACACCATCTCTATACAAATATTTATTTTTAAAAAACCCAAAGAGTAAAATTGGTAATCTGTGCTGATCAGGCCTTTTTACTTTCAGACTTTATATAGCACCAAATCACAAAAACAGTCCCATCAAGGTGCTTTTTATACTAAGGTAAAGCTCCCACAATTATGGAGATAAAACCCAATGATCAAACGACTCCCTTTAAGCAAGCATTAGGCAACAGTGGGAAGGAAAAACTCCCTTTTAACAAGAACAAATCTCTGACAGAACTATGCTCATTTAGTAGCAGCCATCTGCCACAACCGGACTCTGCTTACAGAGATGGAAAGAGCATCTTTGAATGCACAGCATATCCAGGCTAATGGTAATGGTGTGGGGGCTATTTACTTGGCACACTTTCGGCCTCATAGTATTGATCATCATTTAAAAACTCCAGCCTACGTGGCCATGTCCTCCCCTTTATGTTAACAGTGTACCATCTTCTGATAATCAAATCACTTTGCCTACATTCAAAAACAGAGAAGAAACGAAAACAACGGCCAGTTAAGACGTGGAAATCTAACTGGGAGCCTAAGGCAACAGTGTCTACTCATATTGTAGCGGATGAGCAAAAACATGTAGTCCTTTGAAATCACAGGGGAATTCAGTGCCTCTGAGAAGGATGTGAGAACCCATGTGAGAGGATGAGGTTAATCCCGTCTCATTTTGTCGGGGAAATGAAGCAGACCGAGTGGAAAAGTGGAATGCCAATGTGTGTAGGACTCAAAAGAACCACACGGCTGAGTGCACTCAGTCATCTGTTTCAGCCAGACGAGCGCAGCGCAGAGGGATCCACTCGGCTGCCTGGTGTAAATGTTTCTTTCTCAGGTCATCCCGTTTAGAGACACAGGGCTCAGAAACATACCCCTGAATTATTTTATTCAGTGAATTCAAGATAAAATTGTACCGTTTCTAATATGTGAGGAAATGTGTGATGACAAGTATAATGACATGTGCTTTTTGAAAAGTTTTTAGGGAAACAATACAGTGTATTACAATAATATATATATTATTGTAATACACTGTATTGTTTCCTTAATTTTTTAATCGACACATTTTCAAGTATTTCAAACATATTATTTTTTTGAAAAAAAAATTTCCCCTTGAAATGACTATAGATTGACTCAAGTTCAAATCCACTACAAACACAAAAAGCCTTACGAAGGAAAGTAAAGACGAATACGTTGAAAACAAAAAGCCACCAAGGCCTTACAAGTAATTAAAAAAACACATTTGGGAATGGAGAGTAAAAGAAATGGAGCTGAATTTGCTACATGCACAACTATCAAAGCTATAAACTGAGTAACATTATATTTCTAATTTGAACTGAGAATATAATGTTATTGAGACTTACCTTGATTTCATCCTGCCACAGATGCTCCCGCTGGAGCCGCTCTGCTTCACTGGCTAACCTCTACAGAGACACAGCCACATTAGACAAGCAAGTATGATGACATGTTCAATTTCTCTAATCAGATGATTTTGGGGGAAGGTCACTATTAGACAGACTTAATCAGACTTGTGTTAACTGGTGTTTGTAAATGATACTGTGGTCCTGCATTTTGCAGGACATGAAATGGGTTCTCAATCAAACTATTCTGTCTTTGCTTGCATCTGCGCTATAAGCAAGTAAGATTTGTATCTGTAGGTCATCTGTAGGTCAAACAGCATTGTACAAAAGGACAAAGAAATGGATTGCATGTAGCCATGTGAAAATAAACTTTATCATTTCTAAGGTTTTAGGTATAAAGAATTTAATTTATACATTTAATTTGATTTAAATTTGATTAAAAAAATCATCTGGTCTTTAAAAAGTTATAAAATTAAGTAACTACAATCTGCTGATATTCTGTATTTTGTTTTTGCTAAGCATGGTGCTCTAACTTATGTGCAAAAATCTCCACTTTACTCTGGTTTATACAAATGATGTTGCAAAGACCTTGTGGTTTGTTTAGATGCAGCTTTCCAACCCTAAGCCATGCTGTTCATTTTAGAGAGAGGAGGCTTTGTCCTGGCAGCCCTTCCAAACAAAATGTACTTTTCTCAAATGTACTAATGCTAACTGTCGCAGTTTCTCTAAGCTTTGCTCAGGCAAATGGACTGAATCTTATATGGCGCTTTTCTAGTCTCCCGGGGTACTCAAAGCGCTCTATACAACATGCCACATTCACCCAATCACACCCATTCTCACAAGCACTTAGTGCTTTCTAAGTACATTCACACACATTCATTCATAGGCAAGGCAAGGCAAGTTTATTTATATAGCACAATTCAACAACAAGGTGATTCAAAGTGCTTTACAGAGACATTAAAAAACAAAAACAAATAAAAAGCATGATTTAAAATTGATTAAAAAAAACAGTAGATAAAATCAGAACAGTAGATAAAATCAGTTGTTAAAATGTAAGTTTTGAAATTTAAGCTTAAAAGTGTGGACTTGGTGTTTTATTCAAATGCAGCTGAGAATAGGTGAGTCTTCAACCTGGATTTAAATAAACTGAGTGTTTCAGCTGATCTGAGGCTTTCTGTTCCAGATATATGGAGCATAAAAGCTGAATGCAGCTTCTCCATGTCTGGTTCTGACTCTGGCAACTGATAAAAAAAATGGATCCAGATGACCTGAGGGATCTGGAGGGTTCATACTGGGTCAGAAGGTCACTGATGTATTTTGGTCCTAAACCATTCAGAGCTTTATAGACCAGCATCAGAACTTTAAAGTCTATCCTCTGACAGACAGGCAGCCAGTGTAAAGACCTCAGAGCTCCGATGGATGCATTGGAGAGCAACTCGGGGCTAGTATCTTGCCCAAGGATACTTGGCATGCAGATTGGAGGAGCCAAGGATCGAACCACCTTCTGATCAGTGGGTGACCTGCTCTACCTCCTGAGCTACAGCCACCCCAGCAAATTCACCACTCCAGCAAAGATTGGCAGCTGTTTTGAGGCTTTTACCCTTGTGAATAGCATTTCTCGCTATATTGGAAATGGTTTTATAATCCTTCCCAGATTGACAGCAGCAGCAATAATTGTTTCTCTGAGATCATTGCTGAAATCTTTTCCTCCTTGGCACTGTGCTAACACACAACTGAATGCTTTTAACTGGGTATATTTGATTATCAACACCTCTTAACTCCCTTAGATTTAGTAAATGTTTTGTTAGACTTTCACACACTAATTCTGCAGTTTGATTTTTGGTAATTAAATAAGGACACAGCGTAATATGTCACGAGTTGCTGTGCATCTGAGATTGTATTTATCTAATATTAGAAAAATGAGAAGGACCAGATTATTTTATGTTGTGATAAGTAAGGCATGTTTTTTAAAGCAACATCGTATGATTATGGCATTAAGAAATTAATATTTAAAAATCACAAGGAAACATACTTACATCAAGTGCTTTGCGCTTTTTAGCCAGAAGTTTCTCAATATCCGAGGCCACTTTTTCAACAATCTTCCGCGGCTGATTCTTCACCAGACTAAACCGACGCCTTTCTTCATTGTATATCTGTAAAGTTTGAATGGACAGCTGTTAAAAACATGTGCAACATGTGCATCGAGTGCAAACCTCACTCCTGCTGACTTTTCCAGGGATAAGTTATCTATGAATAAATCGTTTTTTTCATGAACCTGCAGAATAAAAAAGGACACTGACAGAGTGTCTGAGACAGAGCTGTAAGATTCAAAGCTCGACAATATGCGAAAGCTCATCTGTTCATTGAAGGCGCACTTGCTGTGTCTGCATGTACAGTCCAATTCTAAGAAGTCTCCTCTCATGCATAAGTATTTATGAACACTGTGTTTTCACACTGAAGCACCCAAAGTAATTTTATGTGCAATTATCACCATGTCATAAAAAACATATAGAAAGTAATCTACATTAGAGTTAATTTATGCTTAAATTAAAAAGGCATATTTGTATCACACGGCGGACTTTCTACAAATTAGATGCGTGTTATACACATGGGGGTCTTAAGCTTGATACACCCAAATGACACTCTTAATGCTTTTCTCTGCAGGGTCTGAATTTGAATTAGGACCGCACAGAGAAAGTTAAATTCAGAGCACCTGCCGTACAGCTTTGGTACAGCCACAGAAAGTACACAAGGAAACTTTACAGGTCAGTGGGACACATCTGGGAATCACACTGGACGGATAGTGGGTGGAGCTGTATTGAGTAATGATTTTATTTAGGAGCAATACCTTCCACAATATTTGTCTTAGAATCATTTCTGCTTTGAAATTGTTAGAGCTTAAATCGCGGCCACACTGCTAGTGCTGGTTTAGGCCCTTTTGCCTTCTGCCTTAATTTTTAATGGCGCTGATTCATCAAGGTACTGAAAACATTCTGGTTCATATTGACATGACAGCATCAAAGAGTTGCTGTAGATCTGTCAGGTACACATCCATGATGAGATTTTCCTGGTCCACCACATCTCTAAGGTGCTCTATAGGATTGTGCAAAGTAGTCAGACTCGAACGTCAAGGAAGGTGGTAGGGAAGCAGACTCAGCAGACATTTCGGGTTTCCAGAGGTGAGCAATTTATTTACAGTGAACCCCATCCTACATGAAACTTAACAAAACGTCCCCCCCAAACTTAATTAAAAAAACAAAAAATACATCGATTTGGTAACTCAGCTCGCCTCTCCTCTCTCATCTGAGCCTGGCAGAGACTGACTGTATTGTAAGAATAGATTATTGTAGTATTAGGGATTTAGTTGTATTAACGATAGTAAAGCATTATATTCGTTATTCATTTAAGTAGGCCATAGGTCAAGCTGCTAAACACTCACACATAGAGCACACACACAGAATTGGAAGAATAAGTCAGATGTGCATGTGAGAAGCAGAGGCAACAGAAAGGAGAACACAGTGTGCGAAGAAATGTGCAGCAAGGACACGAGATAGGGAGACAGCAGATAGACAGGCATTAGCAGGCGCCTAGTTTTGAGAGACAAAGGTTGGTGACTTCTGCGTCAATATGTGCTGTTGGGGCCAAACCTATGGCGTTATTTTTGTGCCACTATTCTGAACGCACGTAAAACTAATTTGCAGGTGCAAGTGTTGAATTTTGAGAAGAAATTTATTTACAGCGAAGAAAAGCTAAATTTGAGTAAACAAAATTCATTGCTGCATGCAAAAAATGTATTTCAGTGTTTGCTATTATCCACACACACACACACACAACAGCAGCCCCTCTCGCTCAGTTTTTGCATCTGCGCTCGCTCGCAATGTGCTGCTTGCGCTCTCAACATTTCTGCCCGTGCGTGTTCAGCTCTTTCTGTACACCGTTATAGTTATGCCACAAAATCATACAATCATAGACTTGGATGCAAAAAAAATATCTGATTGGCTGTTTTGGTCTCCAATCAGCTCAAAATGACGAAATGCAATATCCCAGAATCCATTTCGTCCAAAACTCAAACGAGCCAGTCAGATTTTTTTGCATCCAAGTCTGTGATTGGTTTGGTTGGTTTTGTGACACAAATATAACGGTGTACAGAAAGAGTTGAACGTGCACAGGCAGAAATGTTGAGAGCGCAAGCAGCACATTGCGAGCAAGCGCAGATGCAAAAACTGCGCGAGAGGGGCTGCTGTTGTGTGTGTGTGTGTGTGTGTGTGTGTGTGGATAATAGCAAACACTGAAATACATTTTTTGCACGCAGCTTTTCTTCGCTCAAAATAAATTTCTTCTCAAAATGCATTTTGATGATTGATGCTGAACTGAAATCCACGTGTACATGTAATGAAATTAATTGATTGTTCATTCTAAGAAAAAAAAAAGGAATGAAATATTACACTGTTTTATGATGCATTATACTGTTGATTTAAAAGAAATGCTGTTTGCAGAGAATCATGGCCTTATTTGTCTGATTAGAAAGAACAAAATATACAGCACAGGAAGCCAAGGTCGTAACTTAAACTTAAACAGGGTAACTATGTGAGAATGCTGTTTGTTGATTACAGTTCAGCATTTAACACAATAGTGCCCTGCAGACTGTTCACAAAGCTGAGGGATCTGGGAGTCAACAGCTGTCTGTGTGCATGGGTGTTGGACTTCCTCACTGTCAGGTGGTGAGGATGGGTAAGTGCATTTCCAACAGCATCACCATCAACACGGGAGCGCCACAGGGATGTGTCCTCTCGCCACTGCTCTACTCCCTCTACACTTCAGACTGAGTGGCCACCCACAGCTCCGACACCATTGTGAAGTTTGCTGATGACACAGTGGTGTTGGGTGCCATCTCCAACAACGATGAGGCGGCCTACATGGATGAAGTGAAGAATCTGGCATCATGGTGCCAGGACAACCATCTCCAGCTGAATGTTGGCAAGACCAAGGAGCTGGTGGTGGACTTCAGAAGGAGTCAGCACAGAGACTACAAGCCCATTATCATCAATGGAGCTCCAGTGGAGAGGGTGCAGTCCTTCAAATATCTCAGTGTCCATGTCTCCTCAGACCTGACATGGTCTTCCCACATTCATGTCCAGACCAAAAAGGCTAGGCAGCGCCTGTACCACCTATGGCAACTGAGGAAGTTCAGGGTCTCTCCAAAGATCCTCAGGATTTTCTATACAGGCGCTGTGGAGAGCATCCTCACACAGAACACCACATCCTGGTTTGGGAACAGCTGTGTTAAGGACCAAAAAGCTCTTCAGAGGGCGATCCGTACAGCAGAACGCTGCTGCAAGATTGCTCTCCCCCCGCTTCAGGACACCTACACCAGGAGATGCCGGACAAATGGAGAGCATTGCAACTGCTCATCCACTTTGTCACAGATTGAAGCCATTTGAGTACAGTGAAGTTTAGATAGTGTGGTAGTCTGCTGCTGTAGACCATCTGCTTCAACATTTGTTTGGTTTTTTTTGTTGTTATTTTTGACTCTTCTTCTTAGCACAGAGTGTTTAACCTCTGACTTCTGATCAATAAGACATTTCTCAACCAGAGAACTACTACTTTAACAGGTCACCTTTAGTCTACATGAACCAAATGCATCGAGTTGCTGCCATGTTATTGGCTGGTATTGGCTAGATATTTGCATTAACAGGCAAGTTGAACAGGTTTATCTATCCCACATGCAAAGATGTTGGAGAAAGAATTAAGATAAGCCAAAAAGAAAGGCAGTGATCTGGATGAATCTGTTTGGCAAGCATACATACAGACTGCAAGAGGACTTTTCCCCTAAAATGAGCTTTCTTCCCTAACTTTAAAATGTCCCAAATGTTGAATACTGACCAGATGCTTTACTGGCCCATGCTGCACAGATGGGAACATGCAGCGATGAACAGGGTGTTTCTGTGAACTGTGCTGTCTGTGAAGAACTAGGTCTTGTGTAGAATCCATCAAGGAGCACCACTGAGGACACGCATTATGTGGGTAAAACATAGACAGCAACCATGTAGGAACATAAGTATTGAACCTGGTAGCATAAAACAATTTATACCTGTGTCATTCCACTTTATTACACATAAGTTCCTTTTTGGACTTATTTGTTTTGATTTCTTTCTATGTCTAGATTACATCAGAAAATTTCACATCTATAGCTCCATTAAAAATGTTTAGTGTGAAAATGTTGGCACGTTCAATGCTTATTTTCCCCTCTGTAAACAAGCTGCTGGTCCTCAACATAAGTTCAAACTGAAATAGCAAAAGTCTTAATGGATATCCACTAAAAATTTTGACATGGTTAAAAGACAATAAATTTAGTAATTTACCATGATAAAGAAAAGGTTCTGTTTTTCCCATACTTTGATTTGCTTTGTGCAATTACATATAAAACTCATAACATTCCCATTATCATCTGTTGTTTATGCTACATAGCCAGTGCTATTGTGCTAACATACTGATACTTCTTGTCGGTACAGAGTCACATCGTCCTTCGTTCTTTTCTGGAATGAGCTGCCATTTTGACTGGTTTAAGAACCAAATACTCTTACATAGCAGATGTTGAAGTGACCTATTTCATAGAAGCACCTTTTTATTCAGTGAAATGTATGGAACATGTGAAAATGTCACTTCAGAAAGGTGCAAGAGCTGAACTGGACAGTCAGGATGTTAGACCTGACTGACCACAGCAACGTTAACATTGCTATTGTGAACACGTTAGCATTTAGCTCAAAACAACAAAATTTCTAGGAGAGCTGCAGACTTTTTAACCTTATTACTTTTGATGGCTTATACATGGTGTCTTAATTTGACCTATACAGATGTGTCGACTTTCTTTAAGACTAAAAAAAGGCTGATTTGTTTGAGTTCTTTACTGTTTCTGCCAGCAGAAAGAACTAGAAACCTAAAGTCAAGTGAAAATAGAGTTATATTCAAGTTCTAGTTAGCCTTGGGGTGACTATTGTTGATGCTAGAATAACTGAACTGAATTCAGTATTCACAGAGTTTATTATTAGAGTTTGGGTACTTGAGTTGTCTTGTATATTGGTTAATTGTTTTAGCCTCATCAGCGTTTCATGTTCTGTGATTTTCCTTATCTCAGTCTTTAGTTTAGTTGTTTCACTTTGTTGGTTATTGTCTCTCATATCTTGTTTTGAGTTTTACGTTCTGTCCTAAATTGTTTCAGCTCTGCCCCACTTCCCACCCATTTTTATATTCTCCTCTGTGTACTTATGGTCCTTTCATTATTTAACATTATTTATAATTACCATATCATTCGCATGATGATTCCTGATCTTATATTCCCAAAGTGTCATGGTAACCAGTGTTTTTGGAATTTTACTGATACTTTCATGCCTCTCAAATTCAGCCTTCGGGGTCCTCAAGGAACTACTCTACACCCAGCTAACTGTGACAGCTGTAGTTATCTATAAATGCGAACCCCTGGTTTAGGAATTAAGATGATGCCTGACGTGAATAACGGTTTCCTCACCAAGAGAAAACTTTCTAAGCAAAGGACAACAATCTTGAACAGATCTGCAGTGATTTAAAAGCATGGCGGGATTAATGAGGATTGAATGAACAAGTGAGTTTCAAATCAAGGCATTACTGCAGGCTGACCATCTGCTATGGTGTGACACAAACAGAGAGGACACGTGCCACTGCTCTCTGCTGAGGGAACGCCCCCACACATCTCCTCAGAGCAGGGATCACTTGCCCCCTACAGATGATCTTTGGTCCTGGTCTCTGGCACTTGCCTTCAGAGGGACAACCCCTCCCAGCCACCTGTTACACTAAATAATGTTGAAAATATGCTGGAAATGAAAAGTAAAAGAAAACTGAATACACTCCTAATGACAGTCTACCAGATCACTGTGAACAATTAGACAAAAATAAAAACAAGTACAATCTGGATTTACCTGCAGTCAGTGAATGTAACAAATCAAAATCCCATTTTGTAAAAAACCTTCAGTGGAAATGTTTTTGGGGGTTTTTTTTCAGCCTTTTGCTTACATTATTACATTCAGCTGGAAAAAGCAGAGTTGGAATCTGAGATCCAAGTTGACTGGATATTGTTTAGAATCAGAACTAGAACCATTTAATATGGAATTTAACGCACAGAATCAGAATCAAAAGACCCTGGAATAAGATTACTCTAATGTACCTGTAATGTAAAAAACAATCATTAATGACTTCCAACTCAGAGCTTAATGGAAAATACCTGTTATGTGTTCAAAAATGAACAGTTTCAAAATGCACACAGTTATTATATGATCAGCTCATGAAAGGCCTAAATTAGTATTCATAAATGTAGGTGTTATTAAAGCTCTTGATTTCATGAAGCTCAATTCAGATATTCTAAATCTAACCACTGTAGGTGTGTGTTGAGGCATCTCTTTCACTTTCAGGTGTATAATCCAGTGCACGCAAAACTGATAATTATTGCAAACACAACGCAATACAAAATTATGTATCTAAAATGTCTAAAAGCAGAGTATACGTACTAAAAATAACGGCTAAAGAGAAAAAAATGTAAGAGAAAGATTTATGGCTGCTCTGAGAAAACATTATTTTTTGTTATTGGCTCTGCAGGGATCCCAGAAAACCACCAAACAAGGAAACAATGTGGTTTAAGTGAGACAGACTGTGACTGTTTTCTGGTTTTTTGCACCTATTTAGCTGCGGATCTTCAACTTAATGGAGTTACAGTCAATTTGCACGCTGACCTCTCTGCTCGGTGCACTTCTTATTGAGTTTATCCAACACTGTGATGAATGAGAGAAGCAGACACTCACCCCTTTCAACTGCTGAGCTCCAGTGATGTGCTGAAAGACTCTGTCAATCTCCTGCTCGATACGCCTGGCCCAGTGCATCATCCTGTGGATAAACACCGGAGGCTGACTGTCACACAATGCAAAACAAATGAAACAGATAGGTGTATCTGTTTCACAGAAACAATCAGTGATGTAACAAAAATAGCAGGAAACTGCACACAGATTACCACATCTTTTATGCAAACATGCTTCATTTTTCTTGCAGCAACAGAGCGAGAGAACAGCTTTTTTGGTCAGTGTGGATGTTTTTAATGTTGCTCTTGCAACCATCTGTAATTGCATATGATTTGCAAGCTTGTCTGTACTTAATATAAGTATTTATTTCTTTAATTGTTATATAGTTTGGATATATGTTTAAAAAATATGCATCCACAAAAATATGCATCCACACTGCAATTATAATGGCTTCCAATGCAGCAGAGTAAGCAGAAAAACATTATCACTGGTAATTGTTTTTGAACTTATCTGCACAAATCTGTCTTTTCTTGTTTTTGTATTTTGAAAAACTCAATGTGTGTTTGAATATCTTTTAAAAGGTCTGTGAAGGTTCTTCACAGATCTTTTAAAAGGCAACATTATAGCCACAAACTATCAATGAAATTTGCATAATGACTGAAACCAGCCCACTGAAGGAACAATGGGCAATCTTACTGTTTATAAGATTGGGGAAACCTGCAGTCAGCTGAGACTGAAGAAGTCACTCAGATGAGTGACGAAACGTTTCTCCCACAAAACGCTACGTCCAGATGAACAGAATCAACTTTTGGAGAAAGTGCTTTATACTACAAGCTACACTCACATACTCAGTGTCTTCCCTAGTAACGTTTCAAGATGCGGACTGGTTAATCCAAGAAATGCCAATAAACTAAAAGTTCATTCATTATTTTCTATTCGATCAAAAACCAGTAAACTATACTCGTATCAATACAGCAGAGACACTATTTGTCAGATTTAAACAGACACTGTTTCACTTTCATACTGTATTCCCTGTATGTCCATGATCCAATCTATTATGTATCCAGTGTAATCCTCACATGAGACCGGACGATATTTAATTAAAGGTGAAACACAAAACAAGCAGTCAAAACTGAAAACCTGGGACACTGTGGAATAAAAGCCAGTGATGATCAAGTTTGACCTTAAATTTGACCTTGATGGTGTTACATAGTGTTTGGAAGGGAAAAACATTTAAATACACTATATGTAAAACACAGAAATGGCACCAAACCTTCTCTACTTTTCATCCTACTGATTTTGTTGATTTTGATTTTCTGCATATGCATTCAGCATATACAAATCTCTAGCTGTTTTCACACATCCACTGCAGCTGTGAATTTTTCAGAATTTGTTTTCAGAACACAGACATCAGACATTTAAAGGTGTCCAAACTGCCTGCTCCCTAGCACAAAGACCATATGACTCATGTTGGGATACGTCTGATACACAGGTGGGTAAATGGTCATTATGCAGGCTCCCTCCCTTAACCCAAATGAAGCATGAATTTGTCTGAAGTGGGCTGCTCCGTTTTGAGTGCTTTGTTATGTGAGAAAGGGCAACGGACCTCAATTCAAGACCTCCTCCGCCTCTCCATGTGGAGTTTCCCTAATTAACAAGTACTGCCCATAAAAGAAACGTAAACATTGATGCTCTGACATTGGGGACAGCTATTTTGAAAACATTAAAACTGTTCTTTTGGGGAAAACGCACTTGTTTGGAGATGATATATCACTAATTACTTCTATAATGTCAGTCCACCTACCACACAAAGGTTAATTCATGACTAAAATAATTAGGTTGGAGTCAAATAGTCTTTTTGTGCCTGGAAAGGTTCCTAACTGACTGAACCAACATGGAAATATCTAAGTGTCACTCTTTTCTCTAAATACTAAGGAAAGGGGCTTCATTTCCTTTCTTATCTCCTTGAGCATTTAGGATACACTAAACACTGAACTATACAATAGGAAATGAAAGGGAATAATACCGCTCCACAGTTCCTTGCAGAGTTAACATTCAAAGCCTAACACACTAAATAATTTATCAGTTGTTTTCATACAATCCTACTAAATGGAATTCATGTAGATAAATATGAGCAGACTGAGGGAGAGCTTAAGGAAACCTTCTGCATGAGACATTAGTATATTTTAAAACTAAATGGTCACATTATTATCACTTTATTTACAGACCTATCATGTTTGCCATCAAGGTAATAAAGCAGCTAAAACGTAGCACTTCTACAGTTTGAATGGATATGAAACTCACAGTTCATTGGCTGATGTCTGATTAAGAGTTGGAGGTACAAAAAAAACCTTGCTGGTGGATTAATTAAATTAAAAGCTAACTTTTGTATTTGGGGTAAATTCTGGAGTTTGGCGCAGTGTTATCAAGGACAGCAACAAATTAGTTTGAATTTGCTACTACTCTGATTGGATCACACCTCTGATTTCACACCTCTGATTGGATTCTCAAGTTTCAAAGTACATAGTATTATTTTTATTATTATTGTTGGACTTTTCTGCACTTTACAATTTTTTACAAATGAGAAACACAAATAGAGAATAAGGAGGGGGAAAACACTTGAAGGACCAGATTTATAAAATTCAAGATATTCCATTACTACGTGTGCTGAATTCTTTTAGGGTAACTAAATATGTTATCCTATTCCACGAATGTATTTTAACTAAATGTACAGCCTTCCTTCAACTACTCATTTAAATAAGAATTTTGCACTTAAATCAATATCATAAATATAGCACAGCATGTGCTCTTCCATTTTAAATAATAAATGCTGTGACATAATCACATCGCAAGCTGCGATTTCAAAGCGGCACCCAATCCTACACAACCTACCAGAACAAAAGAGGGATCCTGCAGTATAAAAATCAGTTTCCTTCAAAATCTTGCAGTCAACCATTACTACATAAATGTAAAAATATGCTTTAAAAGACTATAGACTAAACTATATACTACATAGTTATTATGCTATATAATATACAACACAATATTTGTGTTATGCTCTGACTATCTTACTATATATTCCCCTGCAATCCTGTACTTCACTTCAGTCAGATTTAAGAAAAGTTTCTGGAGATTAAATATTCATTTTAGTTTCTACCTAAATAAGTCAAACCAGGAAATCAAGTAATCAGACCTGTAAGTGCCCAGAGAGTCGATTCATTATCAGTCAGACAGCTCCCAGCAGAGTTACAAGACAACAGCACTGATTAAAGTCTTGTTGGGCTTGTTTCCGCTGTCGGACAAGCCACAAATCTTCACTCAACTGCCCGAATCCACAGGAAGACAGCTTTTTGGATGCTGCAAAGGATTCTTTTTCTTTCTTTTTTCTAGCCCAGCTGAAATCGAGGACGCGCAGACCTGATGAAGATCAGACAGCTCTTAATACGGTGCGAGACACTTTCACATTCTTCTATTTGAAGTGATAATTTACTTCTGGGTTTCTGGGAAGTGCCCAGCTACAGGAACCGTGTATAGAAACTAAGATATAACCTTTTTTTTTTTCAAATCCAGGAACATCAAGAGTATCACTTTAAAGGCCCATTTAAGATTATTATAAGACTGAATGCCTGACATGTCTTCACACTGATCCATTTGAAAGTGAATTTCTTTTTTACCTTGAGGCGTTCGAGGCAGTGGAAGAAATAAGCGAGGCGTGCTGTGGAAAAGAGAAACAGCATGCACACTTTCCTTTTCCCTCTCTATAGAGGGATGCAATCGGAAAAATATCTAACGCTTTAAATAAAACCTTTAAAATGCACTCTGTTCCAAAGTGTTCTCAGGTTGCTGGTGCTATTAAATCTGGATTACATTAATTTGATTAACTGAAAATATCTTGAATATTATTAAAATATTGTTTGTTTGTTCTTAAAGACTGATTTTTTTTTTTTGCATTTACCTACTTTGTCATCAGTCTGGAAAACAGTCAGTTTGTCTGCTGACTCAGCCTTTGGAGGCAGTGGTCCATTTTTCGGGGCTTCCGGTGTAACCAGCAGATATCCATGCCATGCCAACACTTGCTGTTGCACCAGTCATTATTACTGACTGCTTCCAAATGCAGAAGCATTTTAGAGGAGAGCCACTAAAAGCTAAATTGCTTCGTTCGCATGTGATTGGTCAGTGCAACCCAGACTACAAATAGATACTCTGTATGCATAATCTGTTGCAATGATTACTTTCTCGTTCATTTAAAACTGTAAAAGGAGCAAATCCAAAGGCAGGAGTAGCAAAGTAGATACAGACAAAAAGACTTTGTCGCAGATGCTAGGATTTCTTTAAAAGGCACCTATAAATTGGGCAATCAGTTACATTAATCCCAGCAATCCTACAGGTTGCTTAAATGTCACATGGCGCAAAACAATATCATGGGTACGATCATGAACACACTGAGCAATCCCAAAGCTGAAGCATGTCAGATGCCATGACTGCTTCATTAACACACGTCCTCCATCTGCATCCCATATGTTTTGACATTTGCTGAAACAAATGTGTGGGGTTAATCTTCATAGATTAAAAAAAAAAGAATCAGCATTATGAATATGTGGCTTTTCTGCAACACTCAAACCTGGATAAAAACACTTTTTTATCACACTTTTTACTGAAAATGTTACAAAACATTTTATTTATTTAGTTTACACAAAAAAACAGTGCACACTTTGTTGTGCCGGCTAGTCTGTTGTGTGTTATTATAAAAATCTTTGCAGATCGGGTTTACTGCAGTGGTGAGAATACTATCCTGAGTTTCTGGCACATCTGAATTTTGACAAGAGCTGCTGCTGGCTCCAAAAATTGAGCTTTTCTCATGCTACCATTTTGGACTGACAACTGTGCATTTCTCCACATTTTCCTCACGACTAGCTGAAGACAGCACAGTAAGCAATCATATAGGGGACTGGTGTCCAGTTGTAGCCACAAACCGACTAAAAGTTAGCTTTTTTTCCACATAAAGGAAAGATTTGTTTCTAAAATGTAACTTTAATGTCTTTCTGAAATAAGGCATATAGCTTACTGAAGACACCAAGCTTCCTTATTCACAGTTTCAGTTATAATGCCCTCAAAAAGTTGTGTCTAAATTAGATTTGTTACATGACTGCAGAGCAGCTTCGACCCCGTGACTCAGTGCCGCTGAAGCACAATCTAAAGTTTTTGACTGTGTGCTCCACTTCCTCTTAAGCCCTGTGGGACATCAGAAAACCAAGTACAGGTGCCACACAGCAAAGCACTCTTGTGCCTCTACTCTGTTACCGGCTATAGTCACACAACGCTGTGAAGACAGATAGAGAAGCACTACATGATGTGACCCATATTCACTTGCAGCAGAGAGAGCAAAAGGTTGAGAGGAACAGCTGAGCCATAGGTGGGGTATAAGGAGCAGACGGAAAAGCCATAAAGCATCTATCTATCCTTCGATCTATGGTTATCTATGGTTTGGGTTACTGGAAATCAGTAATTAAATCAGACAGAGACAAGCTGACTGCCACTTTGCAACCCGCCTCTTTTTATGCTGCTCATAAACTGTCTTATCCGCCATTACTGATGCTTGCTCAGTTCTATCCATATCTTGCTGCTCCTCAAATCCATCCCGCAAACTAAAAATCTTCTTTTGACAACAGTACCTGGCTTTGTTAACACATGGCCTGCTTCCTTTAATGTCTGTTCATGTGCTGTGCAAAAACACAAAGCTACTCGAGACACTGAGTTCTACTGCAACACCAGCAGTGGCCTTGAGAGAAAGATCAGCGTTGTGGATTTAACTAAAAGAAGATTTCCTCTCTGCCCTGTTACAACTCCACGTGTTGCATATTACACATGATTTTGCAGTGACAGGCGAAGTACATAAAAAGTACATAAAGGCACCAAAACAAAAGTACTCGCTGTGAAAAACAGCCCCATTCAAGGTGTCATTTGTGCCATATTAGTGATGACATAATATTAGATTTTCATCGCTGCAGCCAAAAAAAGTCAAAAATAACGATATAACCATAATACCTCCAGGAGGTTTTATTCATGCTATTCATGCAAACATACACACACTATGATTATTATAGTATAGCTCTCTGATTCATTGTATTGTGACACACCACTCTAACCTGACATTCAATTCTGTATTATGAATGTGTTAAATGTAAAAATAAATGCGATTGTGGGATTTGTATAGAATATTTGTGTACGCTGTAGAAACGTTGGGACCCACTGTGCCATAGGCAAGATTTATGCAAAGTTTCATCCACTAAGCAAAATACTTTTAGCATGATTTTATTATGGTCAAGCTTCAAATATAGCAGTAGTAAATAACAGAAGCTGAAATCTGATGCAGAATTAAAAAAAAGTTGTACTCGAATAAAGTGAAAGTACCTCCGATGTGAATTTGAGTACTTTAACAAAGGCATTTTGATCAATGTTCTCAAAACACATATTTCTAATGTAAACTTTTACAGGTCATGAGCTCCTTTGCAGTCTGAGAATAACTGCAATAAAAAAACATAAAAAAAATATTAGATTTTCCCCCATTGATGTTCTAGATGTCAGAACATGAGGAAGGCGGATTGCAATGCCTGCAGCATGGCAGGCTATTACTACAAAAACACATATTTTTTGTAGTATCTGTCTATCTATCTATCTATCTATCTATCTATCTATCTATCTATCTATCTATCAGCAGGGAGAGGCCGTATCAAGACAGAAAGGGTGGGAGGAGAAAGAGCAAAGCGAGAGAGGGAGAAGTGGTATAAATCCACGCTGCTGCAGTATTAATTCTTAATTGGAATGAGAAGCTGTTCTACAGCGTCGCAATACCGCTTCATTTAGCTTAGCCGAAGCGACCCAGGGCACAAGACTATGGAGCTGTTTCAGAGCACTCAGCAGAAAAAAGCAGCAGAAAGGAGGAGGAGGAGGAGAAAGCAGCAGCTTGAAATAACCCATTTCATCATAAAACACACACATATGCACACGCCCACACTTGACTGGTTTATAGAATAGACCCCTCTTTTCTAATTGGTAAATAAACCTCATATCTCCAGTTGTGATTGGCCAGAAATTCTTCAGCATGTGCCCTGGAGATGAGTGGACCATCTGGCCTGTTCCTCCCTCCTGAGCAGCCCGATCGCTGAGCCTGGAGTTGGGCCCAGATAGTCTCAAGTTAAGTGCCAGCTGTACTTAACTGTAACGGGTTAAAGGTTAGGATTGAAGAACTGGGCAGGAGATTGATTGAAAAACAAGGGGAATGGTATTTCGAATGCAGCCTTCAGCAAGAAGCCACAGTAAAACCACACCTTTCTTCTGCTGTGCTAAATAGTAGCTTTGAGTACTTGTATTGTACAGTGCACAGTGTGGTTTCCTCAAGAGGTTGTAGGAAATGATAGGACTGTTTGATGGGTTTTTTTCAAGCCATCATGGAAAGATCTAGCACTTAGTGGAGCACAAGAACAACAGGGGAAACAAGGAAAAGAGCCTTACCAGTTTTATGAATGCACAGACTTAATGTTGCATGTCAAATAGAAATTCTCCAAATAGCTCAACTAATTAAAGCCACAGTCTAGCTCACCTTAAACTTCCCTGTACGTCCTTGCAGTTTTAATTTTTTGTTTGTTTTTTGTTTTTAAACAGGTTTTTGAGAAAGTCAAAGTTAATATTCACAGTCGTCCACTGGGTAAAACCCTCAGATCCTATTTGTGCAGAACATCAGATGAAGGCTCTAACTCATCATATGGCTAATAGGGAGGATTAATCATTTGCCAGATGCTCCTAATTTTGCCTAACTTGATGTACAAACACTTACAGTATGGGGTCTTCTGCTTGGGAGGAACACTGAAATATGATTGCTCATTTAACCCTACAAATATACCTATATACCCCTATATATCATAGCGTGGACTACACCTTCCAGCTCTTTAAATAACCTGCCTTTACATTGATGTAATCGCCAACCCTGTCAAATTACATAACAGCAGAAGATAAAGCATGCAGGGTGACTGGAGTATCTCCTGGTGGCAAAGCGAAGTGGTCAAGCCCAAAGTTGTCTCCCATCGGAGCCCGGCTGCGTTTTCTCTGAGGGTTACTTACGTGTATTGCTGGGGGAAGAGACCCTGCGCTCCAGGCCAAGATGCGCTGAAAATAAAGATAATCTGGATAGATAGCAAGCAGACGATGCTGCAAGACCTTTCGCCTATCGCCATTTTCCATTAAAAATTCTCGTCACGGGCTCTCGTTGCGTGAATGAAGCGCTCCGGACTGTCTCCGGGGCATACAGCGAGCAATGTGTGAACGTCCGGCTCAGTTTCCCGACGACTTCATCTCGGTTTCTCTCGTCAAGTGGACGCGGAGGAGGCAGGCATTGGCCGTGAAGGCATCACGGACGGTGGGAGATGCACTAATGCAGCTGCCAAGACACTGCAGAGTCTCCCCTCCTGCTCCCACACACATACACACCACCACGAGCACTAACACCACAATCACACACAGGCCGGCGCGTCCACGCCCGCTCTCTCTTTCTCTCTCTCATCAGCAGCCCGTGGATCCGTGCGCGCTCACGCTCACCAGGCAACAGAGAAGCAGGAGAAGAATCTAGTTTGGCTTTATTTATCTCTGAGGAGCCACGTGGGATTTGTCACCGCCATAAATTTAGTTTTTCTATTTAGAGGAAGACGCAACACTTCAGGTAGTGAAGGGTCCCTGAATGTAATAAAATCAAGACGCTTCTAACTCCCGTTTCACTCCCCCGGGGTCCAGTTTACCAACTGGGCCCCAGTCCACAGGAGACCCAGTCATGGTCACGCATGACTAGATAAAAAAAAACGGGGTTATGTTTGATCATTCATTTAATTTAGCTGCTGTTTACTTTTTAATGTAACCATTAAAATTGTGAGAAAATTCAACCACTCTTTTTAAATATCACACTATAAAACCATCTGTGATCATTTCATAGTGTGACCTATGTTGTTGCAAAGTGGGACATGTTAATGCTGAAGGTGTTAAGTGGGGATTTTCTCTTCTAATTAATCATCTAGTTTTAAATATCTGCCAAACAGATCTCATCTAATATTTGCCTTTGTGTTAATTTTCCTTCATATATCAACTGTACAGCATCCTGAAACATTGTCTGCTACCTACCTCTGCAAGAGCAGCGGAATGAAGGTGAGTTTAAATGCCATCCAGAGCAGCAGACAGTGCACAACAGAGGTGAAGAAGAAAGTAGAGCCAGGGTAGAATGAGGGGAGTGTCAGGGGTAATTTGTGACAGAAGAATAGCAACAAGATGGTAAAGAAAGGTTTCAAAGATGGTAGTGAGACCTGCATGTATGGTTTGGAGAAAGTGGCGCTGACAAAAATACAGGAAGTCGAGCTGGAAGTAAGAGAGTTGAAGATGCTCCAGTTTCATAGGGAATTACCAGGATGAACAGAAGTAAAATGAGTACATCAGAGGATGTTAGAAAGGTTAGAGAGGCGAGTTTGAGATGGTTTGGACATGTGACCACAGAGAAGATTCATGGGTGTAGTGAAGGAGGACATTCAGAGGGCTGGCGCGACAGAGGAGGATGACATCGAGGCAGATGACCTGCTGTGGCACCCCATAAATGGAGCAGCCGAAAGAAGAAGGAATTTACCCATGTGAGAGTAAAAACTTAGGTTTAAAAGAAGATAATCTCAATACTTCCTTGTTGGTTTTTATTTGTTGTACAGTGTGTTTTGGAGAGGAGAGTATCTGTGGATGTTCTGTTGCTACAAGCTTTTGTACACGAGCCAATCTTTATCTAGTAAGAACTACTGAAGTGTTATACACTGGAAGAGATGCAAAAAACAGTGGCACTACAGGGTAAATTAAGGATGCTTGGGACTGTTTTTTGAATTTTCAGGAACTTTTTTAGAATTAACTCATTAAAGTATTGTTTAGAATACAGTCTCATTCAAACTTATGTCCTATCATTTTTAAATTTTGTATGACGGTAGATACTAATAACAGTTGGAGCGGATTTAATTTAGGTGAAAACTGCGTCAAGGTTAAGGTCACACTAAATACGAAAATCAGTAAAACCTCATATTTAAACTTCACATCTTTAAAACTTTACAGCAATATACTAAGCCTTGGGGGACATGAGTACCTAGGCTGGCATTGGCTAAGACCTTGACCTCCATTATCATCAGCCAACATCACAACGACGCCATAACAGGCCGACACCATCACAGTGTAATAAAAACAGGCTGATGTCAGCATTTTGTAATAAAAACATTATAAAGCATGCAAGCAAGTTTTAGTGTAGCCATTGAGTTGGGTGTGGTTACTTCTTTGAATGCAGTTACAAAAATTTGTCTCACTGAAACATCCCCACTGAACAAATAGCTTGTTCATGAAAGCCATAAAGGGCAGAGCTTTGCTGTGTTCTTGATGTCTGTATGCTGTGCATCCTGTCCATCATGGATAGACCCAAATTGTAGTTCTTGTTTTTGTTGGTACTTGACCTTTAACAGAATTTTAATCAAGGAACAGCTTAGGGTGATTTTCTGGGATGAAAAGTTCAAAATCAGATTGGATGCCTGGACGTGAGTAACCCTCATTTGTGTTGGCTCTGGTGGCAGCCACGCAGGGCGGCTCATTAGTTGAGCAAGACAATTCAGTCAGTATTTATTTTGGTTTTTAAATCAATCCAGGCATAACAATTATTTACACAGATGACCATTTGATTTGATTTTTTTTGATAGCCTTATTAAAAAGAAAAAAAACCTCCCATCATTTTTCTTTTAGTAAACAGAGAGTAAACAGAAACCCCCCCCCACCCCCTTCATACTTTTGATTTGGTGTGTGTGGGTGCGTGTGAAACAAACCACACCCATATGAGATGTGGGAGTGGAGATAATTCCTTTTTGGAGGAATTACAGCATGAAGTGGAAGAGTCACATCAACGAGGAACTCTGTCACTGGGGGAGCTGGTCTGGAATATCCTAACTGTACTAAGGGTTAAGCAGTGATGTGTCTTTTATGTAATATGAAATTTAACAGGAGATTTTTTTAATGAGAAACTTGATGAGAAGGATGGAATTTGTGAGTAATTTGTAAAGAAATGGACTATGACAAGAGTCATAATTGCCTCTGAGAAAGCCATCGTGCAGAAATAGAAACACACTCCTTCCACTGAGGACATCTTGTTGAAAGCAGCTAGCAGCTTCGAAATGCAAGGACCAGGACTGGACTTTCTTATTGCCCAAGGATAGGTGGGTATAGTTCTTTTATTTATTTATTTATTTTTATATGAAACATGATTGGATAAAGACATATTTGATCTATTCTTCCAATTAATCCACTCCTCTGTATTTACAGTCCTTGGACCTTATAATACACCATGCTGTGGTAATTAGTGTCTAACCAATAATATTACCAATGGCTTCTCTCCATTCCCACATTGCCATAAAAAAGAGCCGGAATGGAACTGAGTCATAAAATTTAATAAAATCACTATTTATGTTATTAATTACACCTCTGATTTTCTGCTATGACAGTTTGAAACATGTACTGTGACAAATTAATGTTAAAGCTGACACTGATGTAAACACTGTGCTAAATGGGAACTTAAAGGCATCAGGCATTAGGCACACATAACGCAGTAGAGTCATGAACAGCGGCCTGCAAGCCAGTTTTTGTGACAAGCTCTACACTTTACGGATGCAGTGAACACATATGGTGCTAAATTGAGAACTCTCTCTAAGAAGCACATCCACACCTGCCATCACATGAAGATTTGCTCTCTCCCCCAGCACAGTCTCAGGAGTGTGGAGGTGTTATCAGGAGATGGGCCACTGCACAAGGAGAACTGGACAAGGCTGTAGAAGGGCATCAGCAGCAGGACTAGTATCTGCTTCTTTGTGTGAGGAGGATCAGGAGGGGGACTGCAAAAACCCAACATAATGACCTCCTGCAGGATACTCATGTGTATATTTCTGTCCAAACTGTCAGAACCAAACTGAATGAGGGTCCTTTAGTGAGACCTGTCTTTACATCCCTTTTCCCAGAGAACACCAAAATTAGTATCTGCCACTGGTGCCTGTTCCTTTTCACATATGATGTTGCAGGTAGCGTAGACATTTGCCACGGTGTCTCCGTGCTCTTTCATGCCCGTCACGTGTGCTCAAACCAAGAGCTCACTTCCTTATGATTTAGGTGATAAGTTAAAATCAAAGTCAGAGACAGTACTTAAGCTCATCCCATTTTCATGCGATCTGTCAAATGCACAGGAACACAGCCCAGAAATAAGTCTGGCAATGGTAGACTACAAAATGATGTAACATATACTGTATCAGCCAGGCATTTGGACATGCTCTATATAAGAAAAAGAGATTTTAAAATGCAGGGAAATGAATTAAACATCAAAATGTGCGGTGAGACAGAGAATGTGTAGAAACTAAGAAGTTAAAAAGCAGATGTGCGGACATGGGTCTCAAATATATTATATCAAATAACTGTTATTCTTTTATGGCCTATTTAAGAATAGAAAAAAAAGAGAGATTTCTATACTTAAATAGTTTAGATATAGAGCTTCTTTCTTCAGCCAAGGCCTATACAAGAAAAATGTTTTTTGGAAAACTACTAAATTAACTACCTTCAAAACACAGATTTGGATTTTTGTAGATAAATTTCCTTATCTGAGTAAAAACAATTAAAAAAAAAAAAACAGATGATCGCAGTGGCTGTTGAACTACAAGCCCTGAGAGAGTTAGCTCCTTCGATTACAAAAGGGTTTGGATGTATTTACCACCAAAGGACAGCTGTAGTTGCACTGCAGTGGAGCAGGAGAGCCATTCAGCTGTGTGATTTACACTGTGCATGTAGCCCTTCATACACTGCAGCATCTGCGAGTATTAACAGCTCTCCCCAGAAGCAAGAAAACCATGGAAGTGAAACTCATTACAGCCATGCTATATGTACACCAAAGCTACTTTACAGATACTGATAGAGAAAATGTTTTTCAGACTGCCTCTCAGTTCTTGTTTACGATTTTATTTCTATAAATCTTCAGGCTTTACTTGGTCCATTAATTGTAAAAGGTCTTTGAGAGCTGTTCATGAATTATGATCATAATCCTGGAAACGCCACAGTAGGGTGTGTGCACAGACCTTGTGAATCAGGTAAAATCTCCCTATGTGGGCAGGCACCCTGCTCAGAGACCACGATTAAATGGGGATCAACTGTCGAGCACTTTTCGTTTCCAAGGAAAAAACATGTATACAAATTACTGACTCTGGTCCCGAAAGAGAATGCCCTACAGCTGCAGTCCAACAGGGTTCGACATTTGTTCTGCACCACATATAATAAAGGCTTTCCTGAAATACTGAAACAGCGAAGTTGTCATTGACAAACTGTTTAACAGCACCTATGTTTCCCCACAGCCCGGCATTCAGAAGCTCGGCAGCTGACCCGACAGGATGGCTGCACCTTTCTCCCCCCCTCTGGGAGGAAGGATCTGGCTTCAGCTTTTATTCGGCTCCCTGATGGCCACATGTGCTAATACTGCTGTCACGTCCTGGGGAGAGAGAGAAGACTAATTACTGACTACACTCGCTTCCTGCCAGTCCCCCTCTGAGAGCCATACACTGTTAATTAGACGACAATACCAACGAGAGCTGCACTGTGGATGAGGCCGACCTTTACCTCATGTAAATAGCATTAAAAATCAAAATACATTTTTAATTCCTCATTGCCATTATTCCATCTGTATTTCATAACATCCTTCTTTACAGAGTTTTTCCATTTTTAACCATCCAAGTGAAGTGAATAAAACAAATCACTTTCTATTTAAGGGACACTCTAAATAAAAACACAATTTTAATCTGGCTGGGTGAGCAGAGATTTTAACTGTAGGCCAGTTTTACACCTTTCTGTCTTACAGATTTTAAAATTATGCACTCTGATTTGGTGATTCCCTCTGGCCAACATATTAGATATCTGTCTGATATTTTAAATATGATTTTTAGCCTGGGAATCTGCAGCCACAGTAGACTTTCTGTGAAACTGCACTCAGGCTTTGGATAAAAAGCTAATTGCAGCATACTGACATGCTCACAATGAGATCACCGTAAGCACAAACACAGCAATGCCACCATTTTACTTTAGGTTGTTAGAACGCTAATGTTTGCTAGTAAGCACTACACCTAAAGCATAAATGATGCTGATGGAATATTTTGGGTTGGTGAGGATAATACTGTGTGAATAAATATCAGGACCAAAGAAAAATCAAAGCACCAAATCAAATTTCCTGCAGACATTTATATTTTACCTATTATCACAACTGCCACCTATCTGTGGTCCACTATCACCAAATTTAGGAGGATGAATCCAGTGAGACATTTCGGCATTTTATAGTGTTGCGTTCCTTTAGGAGGCAAACCCATGTTGTGCATTTTGTGAAATACGAGCTCTAGCTCCATCTTGCTGTTAACAGGTGATAAAAAAAAAGCAGCCTTTAGGAACATAATGGTGAAATTAAGTGGGGGGAAAAGCTGGATTTTTGTTTGGGGTCCACTTTGTGATTATCTTGAGGCTACAAATGGATTCAATGTTTTATTGATGTGATTATTTTAAGTGTTATTGCTGGACCTTTAACCAGATGTTTGAAGGTTAAATGCCTCCCCCAAAGGCAATCAGAAGTGTTCTTTCATAAAACAACAGCAATTCTGCCTCTAATTAATAGGTCTAATTAAACTGAGTGCTAACGTGGCATCAGGCATGTCTCTCCTGTTTGTGTAGCAGAAAACAGCACAGTGACATTAGTGAAGAAATACATTTATTCAGTTTGACTTTTGGTTAAGTAAAATTCTCTGTCATCTAAAATTTTAGATTTGGTTTAATTAGAAACTGGCAATCAAAAGCCTCTTCAGCTTCCACTTGAGTTCTTTAAATGAACTGATTTACACAACAGGCATTAATCCTTCAAAAAAAAGGTACACTCAATCTCAACGCTAACATAAAGGATGCTAAGACTTGCTGCTGTGCTGAGTAAAGCAAAGCTTAGTGTGACTTCATCCTGAGAATCAAAAAGATAAACAGTACCAAAGGCTCAGTGCTCCGTTTAATGATATACTCTTTGGTAATCTTTGATAATTCCTCAAGTTAAATAGTCAGATCATCTGGTAAATATGTTTTAGAAAGGATTAAATTATGTCTAAGCCTCATTGGGAAGGGCAGCAACGCTGGCAAGAGCCGGGATGATCCTCTCGTACACGCTGATGCCTTTCAGGAAGACTTGCTCGTTCAGATACTCGTTGTGATCATGCAGCAGGATCGGCGTCCGGTTCATTGGAGAAAAGCCAATAGCAGGGATGCCCACCTAGATCATTAAACAAACATTATTTAAAACACAAGAACTGATTTCTCACAGTAATGTCAATAAAAGAAAAACCTCAAATGACTCTCAGAAGAAAATTTCCTCCATTTACAAACTCAAGTCAATTCTTAAACTCACCTCACGGATAAAACGGCTATCTGTGGCAGCAGGAAAGATCTCCTTCTTCAAAGTCATATTCCTAGAGTGGAGATGATCATATGAGACGTGGCTGTTGATTACACAGTATGCTCCTGTTTTTAGCTGAAACTATATGGATAAGATGTTTTTAAACGTGTGCAAAAAGTGTCGCTGCCTATATTGGAAATGCTTGCAAAGCCTAAGTAAAAACTCATATATATGTAAATCTCCCTGAATAACATATTAAATGAAAAAGAAAATTCTAGTGTCTCACAGCTCCACAAGTATCTGTGACAAACCTTTCCAAGCACAAGGAGCAAATTGTGAGAGTTGTGTGAACATTTGCAGCTAATGTGTGAAGACTCATAGAGCGGATATTTAAAAAAAAGAAGAAGAAGAAGAAGAAAAGAAAAAAAAGGTTATGTAAGCAGATTACAAGGATATAAAATTCAGTTTTGCCATAAACTAATACAGCAGATCATTTTTATTTAAAATCTTAAATCATTAATTGTTCAACAGTAAGATGAACACATACTATTTGAAGAATCACCAGAATTAGCAGCTGCAGATGAAGCCAAAACAAAGGTTTAAGCTGTGACCACTACACAACACTACACACCTATCAGCTAAAACACTGACACGGGGAAGTAAAAAACACTGATCATCTGGTTACAATGACGATTCAAGACTCTTTATTGTCATTATGCAAGCATAACAAAATTAAAGCAATACTCCCTCACATGGAGAAAAGAAGACTTAACATAAATATACTGAGACAATAAAAATACAAAATGCAATACTTTAACAGCCCACAATAAATGTTGGACCCCTGTGGAGACAAAATCACTCAAACACTGCTGCAGCCCTTAGCCCACCATAGTATAAGCACTGCATGTCAGCAGCGGTCGCTTTTTTGTACTGGTTTTCATCTTTGCTTTGTGCAGTCAGCTTTGTATTCTACTAAGACAAAGATCTTACAGATGTGTGCCGTCATTTGTGTTGGTGTGTGGGGTTGTAGCCTCAGGTTTATATTGTTAAATAGTGATTATGAGACAGTGTGTTCCAGCTATTGTACAGAGTCCCATAACAGTAATGTCAAGACAAGAATACTGAATTAAGTAACACGCTGCACTACATTTAAGAAAAGTGTTCTATGTATTATGTGTAACAATGACTTTTTTGAGTAACGACTCTGACACTGATCACAACAAAGAGGGAAATACCTCCACAAACATGCACAAGCATTTGACCCACAGCATGCAATTAATTTGCATGAATGTAATTTCTTTATTCCTGCTTAGCAATGTGGTGACTCTCAAAACGGAGCTAATGACAACTGAATGACAACTGATAAGGAATCGAATCGTTAAGTGATATCGACAATGGAATTGGAGGACTGTCCGTGCTTGAGAGTCTAGAGGTATTTTGGACCTTATTTCAATTGTGTAGTAGATGTTTTAACAGGAAATAATAAACAGCAAATGACATTCCCTTTACGTTATGTATTATCTTGTAGTAATCTGATGGCATCTTAATGTAACAGATGCAAATCAGAGTAAAATTGTAGCTAAATGTCGTCACTTTCACAGACTCGTGAAAACAGCAGCATTATGTACTCCAGGTTTGGAAAAGGATTTAGTCCACTCACATATCTTTGCAGGAAGCACTGAAGGCATTCCACCATGGATCACTCTCATCTGTGGATGTGATATTCTGGTTCATGTGTTTCTACAACAGATACCAGCTGATTTAGACAATTTGACCATCAGAACAAACCAACAGCAGTCTTAGAGTTGAGAGCAAGCACACTGACCTGAGCAAAATCATAGGTGACATCTTCTCCTGCTTCCTTACACCACTGCTTGATCTGTCTCTCAAACTCCTGGTACAGTGGTAAAAGTCAATGTGGAGTACTATGACACTTGCAGCCATGTGCATAATTGTATGAAGGAGTTACACAAACACATAAACCACTTACGCACCTGTAGATTTACTGTAGGTGGTATTCTTAGGTCAAAGCTGACGTCCATTTCAGCCGGGATGACATTGTAGGCCACGCCCCCTTTGACCATAGTCATATTTACTGTGGTGACGTCACCAAGTGTAAAACACTCACTGATATTTAGCCTGAGGAGAGAGAAGGTAATAATGAAAAAGAGATGTCAATATAAAATTGTACTTAGTAGTCAGTATAATCTTTTAGTGATATAAGTTTGCATATTATAGAATACTGCATGATGACCCTTTTATGACTTAGACTGTTGTTGGAATCAAGACTTGCTTTATAAATTCTTTCTCACAGCGATAATAGCTGAACAAGCTGTTATTATTTCACTCCTGCCAGGAAGAGGAGAGCTGGATACTTTTATCTGCAAGAAGAGGGGCCACGTCCTTCAGAATAACACACACACACACACATACACCTGAACCACTCTTATCTTCACTCCCTACATACTAACATTCCTCTGTGTATGAATAGACGTATTCACTGTTGTATTACTTTTGTATATAAATAAAGACAAGTGCAGGAACAGAGCGCACATCACAGGGCCCCCACTCTGGTGTGAGCGTTCTGTGATCGCCCTTGCAAGTAAATGCTGCAGCGTCTGTGTGTTTCTACCTTTAGATTCTTAGCTGAAGAAGTGTCTTTAGAATAAATCTCTTGACAAGAGACCAAAATGCAACTTTGAATCAAACACAACTGCATTTTATAAAAGTTTATATTTAATTTAATGGTCTCTTCCCAATTATCTATGGGACACAAAGACAACTGATGAGCAGTATATGACAATTAATACATTATTGCTTCCATTTCTGTAGTTTTTTAATGGTTACAGTGAATTTAGAGGTAATGTGCCAGAAGACACCTTTTTAAAATATTTTCCTTAAGTTATGTTGAATCGTTCATGAGAGACTGAGCAATTGAATTTCCACAACCCAATTATGTCATACATTTCTAGGCATCCAAAAGTGTAAATATGTATCTAATGTCCTGAATACTGTGTGGAAAAAAAACAGAAAAAAGTTTTTAAATAAATAAATATAGGCTACTCACATTTATGACATGTAAACATAAATTAGAAGTTCTTAATGTCTACACAGTTCATTAAAGCATGCTGCTATGGGACAAATTAGCTGCAAATAGACCTACAAGCAAATTAAACCGTCTGTACAATTGAAATTGATTTACACACTTTTGTGAGCAGGTTTTGGGATAACCTATCACCTCAAACTAACTCCAAAGAGATCTATTATAGAGGAAATCTAGGACCTGCTTACACTACCAAAGTGTAAATTTCCTCACCTGTGTTTTTCCTTCTCTCTGAAGTCCAGGAAGGAGTTCATGACATGGCGCTATAAGAAAGTGAAAAGATAAGTGTTGTTACTGACACTTTCCTTTAGTTGAAGTCCTGTTTTCAACCACTTTATTGTACAGATAAGTACCAGCTTCTCAGCTGCTGTATTCTCCACAAACCGAGACCCATGACCTGGACTGCCTGGGCAATGGACAGTAATCCCTGAAAGCAGAGGTAATCCTGCTTGATTCAAGACACGTTTTATCATCTAAGCAGTAATTCAAAACTAATTTAAGTTGAAGTTTCAATTTCTGTGTATTTTGTACTTACACCAGGGGTTCCTTTCCCCATAAAACACAGTGAACGCATCAGTGGGATTGGCCAAACCTGCAGAGAATGCAGAAAAGACTCAAATACACTTTGATCCATCCATTTTTCTCCACTCATCCAATTCAGGAACAAGGATAGGAACTGAAGCCCATCCCAGCTGCCACAGGGCAAGAGGCAGGGTACACCCCCAGAGACAGACAATCATGCACTCTCAAATTGACACTTGCAAGTCACTAGTTAATTTAGTATCACAATGAATCTAACCTCATGCACAAGAACATGGAAACTCCAGTTCAAGATGTACTGACTCCCATTTCTGATCAGACATAACCAAACACTGGAATCCCTTGATGTTTGGATGTCAAACTTAAACCCAGTGAAGACATTTATGAAGGCATATGAGGCAAAAGTCTAACATCTTCACTATTTTTAGTCGAAAAATATTTCAGGAAGTATTCTTATCTGTATTGAAACCTAAAACTTTCTAGATTAACATGAAAAAAAAAAGATTAAAAACTATTACAATTTTTTTACTTTATAAACTATGTCTTCTTCTTTTTTTAATTACTGTGGTTTTATAACAAAGGGAATTGACAATCATTTGAAGCACATTTGTCAGCCAGCATCACTGGCTGGCCACTTTTTTATCTAGCAGTCGCTGTTAATCAGCCTGCTGTTGCATTCTCTCTTATTGTGTTTACGTCTGATCAAACCAAACACTGGCTCTGTTATAAACTCAGTCATGCAGGCAGGTTTGTTTTTATCTTTGGCATGAATAATGTTAAAAAAAAAAAAGCAATTTACATATATAACCTGAAATTTTCAGACCTGCATTTACTCATTTTTTTAAAGGTCTCAGTGAAAAAGTCAAGAAGTTCAGAACTTTTTGAACTAATGTTACTGACACCAATTAAAAAGTAAATTCACACAACAACACAACGAAGTTACAATCCCGACTTAATGGTCTCACCCATTCTAAGAGAGAGAAAAACAGGAAGCCCAGTTAGTGCAGATCACAAAGAAAAAACACCCATATAAACACTTCCAAACCTCCCAGAGTAACACTTCTCCTTTCTCCCGAATGCGTGTAAGGTTGAGGCTGAATCAGTTCGGGAAGATAAGGGAAGGTCTGAACACAGAGTATAACATAAAAGAATATGGACAGAAAATTACTAATATATGTGAAAGAAAAATAAGTAAATACCAAATTTGATTTATAATTTATACATTTGAATTATAATCTTCCCCCATTAAAAAAACAACTTAATAAAAATAATGTAGTGGGTTTCAGGATTAAACCACTCTTCTATATGACATCAAAGAGAAAAGATAAAATAAAATATTTGAAAAAGAAAGAAAATAAGGGAAAGGCAAGTAAAGACCACCTTTTCTTTCTCTAAATCCTTTTATTTCACTACAGCATGATCAATTGTCAAATTTAAATGTGTAGGTTTTTATTGTTAGCCCACTGAGTAGTCTCTTCCCTTCATTCGCTTAGTTTTACTAGGTGCTCTTGTTATGGTTACCTGCAGTTTTATCTTGTTTCAAACACTTAAAAGTATTAAAAGTAAAAGGATTTTCTGTGGAAATAATTCAAACTAAATAAATAACAAGTATTTTTAACTCACTCATACACTTTGGCATGTTCAATATTTTGATTTTGATTCATTTACTTTTGAAAAAGAATACAAAAACTGCTTTATCTTTAACTGTATCTCTTTATTTATTTTTTACCTTCATCAAGGGCAAAGCCGATGTTTAACTTGTGAAACTCTGGCTGCTTCACAAATGTCTCCATCCCCTTGTAGCCTCCAACTTCCTCATCTAAAAAAATAAGTAAATAAATAAGTGACTACAACCTAACAAGACTCGGAGAACAAACTTCATCCTTATTACTTGGATTCAATGATTATGGCTGATTAGACATCTGCTGGGGACGAAGCTGGGAGGAGCAATGCTGGCAACAATGTAAACTCCCAGGAGCCAGTGCCTCCGCTCCACGCTGGCACAGTGCAGAAATGTTGCTGAAAGGGCTGCTGTTTCAGTTTAATTTATTCAGACTTGAATCAAAGCCTTTGTGTGGAAAGCAGACAATAAATGCCGTACAACATGTACAAACAGATTCAGGAAACAAAGCGTACTTGGACGCACATATTTAACATGTCTATACTGGATAAATGTGTAGACAAAGTCCTGCTGTCAAGGTTTACATCTCCACAACCTAGGAGATAACGTTTAACACACGTGTTTTCCTACCCATCTACACTGGTAACAGACCCCCTAATAAGAGTCTACTTAATATGCATTTCCTGTTTTTATGATATCTTGAGGTGTCTCTGGCAGAGTGACAGGTCAGAGTTAATCTTAGACTGAGCACATGTGTTTGGCTGACCAAAGGTAAAACTCATCTCCTTTGTGTTTAATGAGTACAAGACTACAGTTTGTATTCAGTCTTTATCGCTGTTAAAGAATTACTGAAGCTGCATCATAAGCAGTTAACAACAACAGGAGAATGAGGATGGTATCAGTCACACACTGTATGTGTTTTTACTGTCCTAGCATTACTAATTAAGGAGTAATCAGTCACAGTAAGTAAAAATACCCATGAGCCTGTATTAACAATTGTAAAGACATTACAAACAATTTAAAAACAGAATGGAGAGGCATATTAAAATCTTACCAGGAACAAACATGAGATGGAGAGTGCGTGTCGGTTTCCATCCCCTCGCCTTCAGCCTCCTGACTGCCTGGATGTACCTACACAGAACAAAGTGAACGCAGCAGATATATGACAGGAACAAGGACGAGAGTGTGAACTGACAGTATGCAGGCTGAGTGAGCGGGTGTTAAATCGGGTGTTTCTCAAAGAAACATAAATACAAGAGAGCATCACAACAACACTAGAGCACAAATCCTGTTTAATAAAGCAAGTTATCAAGGCAGGTTATACCCACTGTATAGTTACACATTTCATGTCCTGTGATCCACGGGCATAAATGTTGCCCTCTGCATCTTTGAAAGCACTGAAAGCATCGTACTTCCAATGTTCCTGGAGAAAAGATTGATATCAAATCTGTTTTTTTCAGGTCTGTTACAGGTGATAACAGGATTGTAGCGCCATACAGTGAGACCGATGTCATACCTGATAAACAGGTACAACATCTGTGTGGGAATTCAGCAAGATGGACTTCAAGGTGGGATTCGTTCCCTCCCATGTCATGATGGATATGACTCTACCTGGAAAAAGCTAAAAGGAGCAGGGACAGAAAAAGGATCTTTTTATTATTAATGTTATGTCCACTGTATCATGTAAGCAACTGCTCTCTGAACGTAGCCATCAATGTCACACACCTCGATCTTCTTCAAGGGTAGCTCAAGCTCCTCCGCTATTCTGTCAAGGAACCTAAGAGCAGCATCTATGAAAGAATAAACACACAACAAGACATCACACTCAAGCATTAATAATTGAGTGAAAATTCTCAGTCACAGCTCCTGCTGCTGGACTTTGACAAGCCTTCTCCTGTCATCACTGCATTTTCAGCCACTTTTAGATGTGCATGTGAAAAGCAGTCTAGCTAGCCAGTCACACTCTCTCACTTTTTCTATGATTATTAACTCTCTCAGAGCAACTCGAACACAAACCCTGTTTAAAATGGTTGCTGTTAAACAGGGTGAAATATATTTCCAACAAGGATCTAACTGCACGGGACGCATTTCATAACCGTAAACAGGGTCGTAATGCCTCCAAATAGTTGTTTGGAAAATGATCCATCCCCAGGCTCACTTGTTTTTGCCTCATGGCTGTTGCTTTTATTTTTTCTACTCCTGAGACTCAGCACAAGGTGTAACCACTGAACTGAAAACTTTACATAACAGCTCAGCGTCCTTTTTAAGAACATCTGTTACATGCATAACTGTGAGCATTTAATGTTTAACTGACACAGATAAGAAGTGAACTTTGATTATTTTTTTCTCTTTGAAGACAGACGATGATGCCACTGATACAAGAAAATCCATGTTACAGTTTCTCAAAGGAAGCACAGATACTGTTTACAATACATTTATTAGGATACTATATAAAGAAACAGCATTTGTCGATCATAATCTTAAAGGAAAACCACAGAGAAACAAGACATGAAAAAGATCATTAGTCAAGCAGCGGTTTGGGGTCTATTAAAGACAAATGCATCCCAAAATTCAATTGCGCCATATCGCTAAAGGTCACGAACTGAGCTCATGTAATAAAAGTCTCTCACCATAGTCGGGCTCTGGGTGCACAGTTCTGAGCCGGAGGTAGTCTCTAAAAAGAGACACGGAGGGGTCTTCACCCTCAGGAAAGCTCTGTCCGCCTCCAACACCTGGACCGTCTTTGTCAGGCAGCATGGTTCGATTTATCCTCTGCCTGAGGACAGAGGAGGCAACACGCGGCATGTCACAGTGATAACACGCCAGGTTCATGTGGCAAATATCTGTCCTTTATCTGGCACAGACATGACGCTAAATCCGTTTATCACTGTCTCCCTTTTACCGCTGCCATGACCTTACCTGCTTAAAACACCTCAGCTCGGGTCCTGATAAAAGCTAGCTAGCCTCAAGCGAGTTAACTTATTGTCCCTGTCTTTTGGCACAGGCTCCAGCAACGGAGATTACAGGACGGCAAATAGCGCAGTTTTATTTACTCCACCTTATTTTAAGACTTATTATTACTTGTTATTACTCACCCTCTCCAGCCACGAAAGCTCCTACGACCCAGGTAACCAGGTTTGTGACAGTGTGTGGCGTGTGTGTTACTGTGTATCAGCTGACATGCTGCTGGCTTCCTGCCCTTCAAAATAAAGGTCTACTTTCTTTAAATTAGAATACAAATTTAATACCAGACACTTCAGTTGGCATATACATATGTGAATTTATGTGCACATGTGGTCTGTGCATGTACACACATGAGTAATTTTACCTTTGTTCCTTAAATAAATGGCATTGTTTCAGTGCTGACTGATATGCTGCTCAGTGTCTTTTGCTCCCTGCTTTTAAATCAGATGTCACTCTCAACATGCCAGAAAGGACCAGAAACTCAAGTTGAAACTAGAACTTAAATTGTGAAAGCAAGCTGATTGGTGAGCTACCAGACAGTTACTCATTTAATCGTCTCCATCCTGGTCTGCCACCACCAGCTCGACCTCCTGTCTTTTTGTCAGTATCACAGTCTCCAAATCATACATCATAGCAGGTCTCACTACCATCTTGTAAATCTTCTCTTGCATCTATTTTTTTTTGTTTCTCATCTCCACCCACTCCACCCTGCCTGCACTCTCTTTTTCACCCTTCTTTTGCACTGTCCATTACTTTGAATGACCAACTAACCAGAGGTATTTCTTGCAGCTCATTCACCTACACTACCTGTGAGATCTATGCGACTTCACCATTCGACCTGCCTCCCTTTCGTTCATTAATTTTATTTTAATTTGGTGCCTGAATAAAAAAGTGCAAAAATTATATACAGAAAACTTCTACAAAGAAAGTCATATAAATACATCAAGGTTAAGCTTAAGGTTTGTTCCTTCTTAACATGGCAGCATGTTGAATGAAATACACAAAGCACAGATTTTTTTGCCTTTATTTTAAGCAGTGCACGTATTTTCCTTTTTCCATGATTGTCCAAACTCAATGAAAATATATTACATACAACTTCAATATTATATAATACAAGAGTTGGTTTTTAAATTATTTTTTACATTGTTAACACTTTCTTTTACTGTTTTTTAAACTCCATTACTTTGAGCATCAAGTGTGTTTGCTTTTGTTTAGCACAGCTTGTGTTTAATGGGAGCTGGAATGGTTACCAGATATTTATAGAAATGCTGTTTGTTAAATGTGAAACTAACAGAAGCTTTCAAATACAGGGGGAAGCAACATTTGCTTATTTACAGTAACCTACATGTCACCCACAAAAATGGTAACAGCCACTCAAACCACATTAAATATTTTTTTACATGCAACAGGCGATGAGAAAAACAAGAATCAAAACTCACCACTATACAAGTCTCTGTTTTTTGTTTTTTTTTAACAAGATAAGCTGAATTACTCTTGTATTTTTAGGCGGCAAAGAAACTGAAAAATAATGCATTCGTGACATCTGAAATACTACATTGTTAAATGTGAAATTTTAAACACTATTTTCCAAACCACAGAGTGTTGACCTGTCCAGGGCGGACACCCCACCTCATCCCTTATAACAGCTGTTCCCTTGTCAAAGTTTTTTTTTTCTCTACAAGAAATAAGAATTCTGCTGATTTAAGTCACTACAGTCAACCACTGATTGGCAGAAAAAGAACATCTTCCTGTCTTTTCCTAATCACTATTTCTTGACTTCAGTGGAAAAAGCCATGAAGTAAAAGAAAGATGAGGGGGAGGGCTCGACTGCGTTTACGTTAGACTAATCAATAATGTTACAGCAGATGCTGCTGATGAGCACCTGCTGTAAAACTTTAATGTTTCATGTAGGCTTCCTGTGCCTACACTAAAATTGGATAATGATAATCCTAAAGGCTAAACCTTAGATTTACTTTGATCATCATTTTTAATATAGTTCATGTCTTTCTTCATATATATTTTTAAATAAATCTAAATTCTTTACAGAGAGAAACAACATCATAAAAGCTAATTTTGTTACAGCAGCCTAGTGTTCATACGTCGCCTGTAGGTTTATCATAGCCTGTCACTGATGGTTTAAAACATATCAGCAGGTTATGGCATAACATGGAAACTACTGGAGCTGGATTGAAATGCAACCATTTACCTGCATGATTTTTCAGTTATATTTTTATGACAAATCAGATGGTGTGTCGCTTTGAACTGTGGGTTGGCTTTACCTACTGCCCTTTCACAAAGCATGGTCCAGTGTATCCTATGCTAAAGGAGTTAAAAAAGGAAGCACTGAAGCACTTTCTTTAGTATGTAGAGATTTCAATCAGCTCCTATTATACTTCCAGGTCACTACATTCAAAGAAAAAATGACTATTCCATCCTAACCCAGGTATTCTGCCACTCATTTCAGTTTGCTGAGGAATTCAATCAATCCTTGGTGAAATTCTCTGGTTTTGTCAATATAGCAGGCATGGCGCGCTCCTTCCAGCTTCAGCACGAAGTGATTTGGGAGTTGTATGAGGTTCTTGTGGGACTGGGCACCCAGATTTGTGTCCTGTGCTCCAAACACAATCAGAGTGGGAGTCTGAAAAGGACACAGGACTAAGAAGTCAAAGAGGAAGACACACATCCTACAACATAAAACATACTCACAACAGTCTCAACAAAGAGCAAGTTTTCTGCCTCAATTGTGGGGTAAATATGCTGAAACAAGTTATGAGAGAATCTTATATATCTATTACATACACACACACACACACACACACATATATATATATATATATATGGCTAATATCAGGGCTCGCAAAATCGCTAGCCCGACGTCCCGGAACTAACTTCTTATTTGGTGCGCGTCTATAATACAGTAAGTACTTATAGTTATTGTATTCAGAGATCGCATCATTATTTATGCCTCTCTCACCTGAATATTTTGGTACTGCTGTGCAGAGTAACTCCGGGTGCCAACTGGTGCTATAGGGATAAAACCGTGTAGCTGAGCACTGTTCTTCATGAGAAAGGGGAGGGAGTAATGTCCACTCATCGATGGGCTCAAAAGCACAGCTGCCCTCACCCCCAAAGACTCCATGAACCTTGAAAGGAGATCCACTCGACTTTGGTCAGTCTTCAGAGACTCCGAGTCTGGTGATTTTCCATATCCTTAAAAAATATATGAAAGAAGGGGGATATAATTTAAATAAACTTAAATAGATAATACTACAACACTACGCTACATATATTAAAGCTAATTTACACCTAGTGCAAGAAACTCTCACAGGTTTAAGCTGAAAGTATTTAAAGTTACAATTCTTCAAGCATGCGTAGCACCATCTTGTGAGAGTACAGAATGTGACATCACCGGGTTGGTTGGTTATTGCTAATCGACTGACATTAGTTTGTGTCCGCTAACTAGTGAGAGAACTGATAACTAGGTGGAAAACAAGGGGAAAAAACAAAAACGTAGTCTAAAGGAATCCTTTTTGTGCTGCCCCTGGCTGATAAATGAGTTTTATGTTAATAATAAAATACTAAAAAAAAAAAAAAAAAAATCAAAGATATACTGTTGTCATTCACTCTCTGTCTCTTAAGCAGTAACTGGTTATTCATTGCTAGCTAGCTGGACTGAAATGGGAAAACTGAGACGTTAGCCGTAATGTTCGGTATTGTAGAGTAGTTTATTATAGAGGACTGTGTGCAGGAGAGCCTGTTGGAGTGAGGTGTGCTGGTGGTTCACCGAAAAAAAGCTAAAGTTTTTCTTTACTTTTCCTCATGGTGTCAGGTATACATGTATATATTAAAGTCTGGTTTGTATCAGGGGTTAGGTCTTTTTTTTTTTCAAACCACATCTAAAACACTTTACAAGATAACTGGTTACAAAAATAAATAAACCTCCAGGTTAGCCTCCTTCATTTACATTTGTGCTCTTCCTCACTTCTAGTATGAAATAACTCGCTCAGTGAGATAATGTTTTCAAACTAAAGAGTTTCCACAGCAGTTTTCCGAGAGAACTTCTAAACACAAAAATGTGAATCAGCTTTAATACATGTCCATTGTAAACAAAGCAATCATTCCTGAATTTGTGCAGAGTGGGATTTTAAAGTGTTTTCCAGCATTTCCTTTTGTCGTTTTAGGTGTTTCTAGTTAATCTGGTTCCTCAGACCGCTTCTCAGTTCACCTTGATTTGGAGCAGAGTTGGAAACTACATGCAAACATCAAATTTCAAGTAAGGCTTGTCCTGCTTACATCAACCCAGATTTAAGCCCTTTTCCGAAATCACAAAGTGAGTACCAACAATCCATATAACATACGTAATCATACATCTGTGCTCATCGGCTAGCATGAGTATGATAAACTAGACTGAAGTGAGCTTCAAGGTCTGCAATCATACAATGCAGGTAAAAATATTTTTAACCACAAGAGTGCGCTATTAACTCAGGAAACCGGAGCTTACTAAACCAACTGCACTATTGAATAACTACAAAAATGTGCATGAGAAAACTGCTGTAGCCTACTTTTTACTTTAAATGTATGCTGTCAGTCGACTCATCTCATAAACTCAATACATTAATAAAACTTACTGACTCAATTTTCATTGTGAATATAATTTTGTTTTCATATAACTGAGGAACGGCCAATAGTGTGCAAACTTTGTTTTATTGTTTTACTGTATAGTTAAACTTAAGTAATTATTTTGTAACTAATATACTGTTTCCGATAGCAAATACTTGTAATAAGCAAGATGATCATCACTAGTGACACATGAAATTTCCCCTTGTGGGACTAATAAAGGCATATCAAATAAAGGTAAATCAAATTCTTAGTGCTTGTGACGTTTGATTCAACTTAAGTTCTACCTGGTAGGTCCATCGCCAAGGCCTGATATCCATTAGTTGCCAGCAGGGCCATGGTACCAAGTTCTTCCCAGGTTTTGGATGTGAAGGCCTGACCATGCAATAAGACAATTTGCAGCCTGCACAAACACATAACTGTGTTAACCGGGATTTTAGAGCAGACACAAACCAATCCTGTGATAATCACCATCGCCATCTGGTTTATTAACTAATTTTGTAAATTGGTTTGCTATTAATTAAAACTGGAATGCATGCTATGTCCTCAGATAAGCTCACCTTGGCAGTATCTGCCGTCCAGCTCCATCCACTGGTAAAGCTTCTCGGAAGAACAGCGGGGGGTCTCCGGGCAGCTGTCCGGTGCGAATAGACACATTGATAGTTGGAAGCGGAAGAGGAGGGGTGGCCATTAGCCCCATTTTTTGAGCTTCCAGGGATGGCTCCATGCTGCCCTGGCGAATGGATGGCAGCAGAAGGTAGAGCAGTAACGTGGCCAACAATACCAGGCCCAGAACAACGAGACGATTACGCAAGAAATTCATTTCCTCAAGATGAAAGATCTAGAGAAAGCGGTAAACAGTAAATTGTTTGAAAGCCCTTCATATTATTCCGGTTCACACAATAGTGCTATTTGTCTGGCACTGTATAAATGGATGAAAGGACTAGTACCCAAACCTGTGGTTTTACTTGCACAATATGTGGTTACAAATTGCAAACTTCACCTGTATTGTTAAAGTATTTACTGTCACATTGCTGATAAACACAGCTGATTTTCATCTTCACATCTAATAAATAGAGCTGACTGGTAAAATTTTTAATGTAAAGCTACCAAGTGTTTGTTGCTTGGCAGTTCTTCACTTAATTAGGTGGACATTAACGTTTAGAAGTGAACTGGTTTTCCTTAAAAGATTGAAGGTGAGATCCTTTGGAAACAATCATCTAAATGCGAGCTGAGACAGACTGCAAATGAATAATCCTTGCACACCCCGCATGAGACACTGTTCACTCTAAAGGTGCTTAATAAATGTCCACTGGACAAAAATGTTTGGGGACTGGTGGATTTGCAAGGTAACAGAATGAACAAAGAAACCTAGATACAGCCAGGATTAGTGACTCCAATTGTTTGGTGCTGCAGTCCAAAACAGTAAGACGACCAATATAATCGAGCCAAATAAAAATGACAGCTAGCACCAGCTAATTGTATTGCTCCGGTACTAGCTAAACCCGCACAATGGGACGCAGCGGGAGGCGACCTGCATAATGCAGCAACATACCGACACAGAGGAGGCAATTAAACACGTTCAGTGACGGAGGGGCGAGGCTTTCTTCTCTATCGTCATCGTCCTCGGCGTTGCTGGTTGCCAGTGATGGGAAATGTTGCTGAAAGGCTTCGGTTCGCTGCTCGTTTGGATGGCTAATTTAGCTTTTCAAAGTGAGAGGAGAAATTGTACTTAAAGACAGCTGCACATCTTTATTCTTCTAACAAAGTAAAACCAATTACCCGGTCAATGAACGAGTGGTTGCCGATCAACTCAAAGTAGACTAGATATTAACCAACAGACGAGAAAGACAGTAGCGCAAACGCATTATAAAGAATTTTTGTCCGATATAAATTAAATCTACCACGATTTTAAACCGACTTTTTCTCGTCGGAGCACTTTAAGAGCTGCACACAACACTAATCATAACGGCACTTCCCGTTGAAAGTTTCTTTCCCGAAAGCGAAGAAGTGAATTATTTTTGTTTTTTAAAGGATACTTGGCTTACTTTTAGAAAATGAACATAACAAAGCTTGCAGCTCCGCCAGAAATAAAAATAAAATAAAACAAAATAATAATAAATGTAAAGTGTAACTGAGTGCTCAAAAGAATGTTAAGCTTTAAAGTAAAATACAGTACACGCCATTTATCCCAAACGCTGTATAAAACAACCTATAACAAGATAGACTGGCATATAAGTACAGTATTTTTTCCAATAAAATAAAACACAGTATGACAAAACAAATATCTCAAGTAAAATTTTTACAATAATATTTTTCAATATTAAATAAGTAAAAAATAAAATAAATACTGACTATAATATATTAAGATGATGTTATAAGGTAAAACATCTCAAGTTAAATAAAGTAAAAATAAAACAGGATAAAAACAGAACAGCATTATAAAATTAAAAAAAGAAGAAGATGAAACCATAAACCAAAGTCATATCTCTGAAATGTAATTCAAATGTCTACCTGGATACCCCCAAACTCAAGACCATACTTTTAGTACTATCTCACATCAAACTTAACTCTTTAAATCTTTATGACATTTTTTTTTTTTTATTGTATTTGAACCGCAAGTCAATTGTGATAGGCTGTCCTAAAAAAAGGGATTTCATGCACAACCAGAACTTGTCATTTCTGTTAAAAAATATTCCATACTAAGAATTAACTTGTGTTCTTATATGAATTAAAGCACAGTGGTGGAGGGGTGATGATTTGGGTTTGTTTTGGTGCCACAGGACCTGACTATAATAAACGGCATTGATCCAAACATTGAGTCAATCATGAACCTCAATCTGATTGAAATGCTGTTGTGAGACCTTAAGAGTGCTGCCCGTAAATGAAGCTATGAACTGAAGCAACCATGTAAAGAAAAGTTTCCCAAAATTCCTCAATGATGTGACAAACTGTTAAAGTCACACAGAAAATGCTTACTTCAAGTGACTGCTGCTAAAGGTAGCTCTAAAAGCTCTTTTTCATATGACTTTGCGCTCAGAATCTCCCTGACAAAGCAGAACCTCCTTTCTGCTAAGAGTAAGGAAATAACAGACAAACAAATCATATATAAAGAAATTTTAATAATGTAATTCTCTAATGCAAAATACGAATATGAAATGTTTTAAATACAGAACACTTTGATTTTGTTAATTTGCTTTGAAACAATAACCAGTACATTTCAGTTACATTATTTATCTTAATATTGAACATAATTACTGATCACAGAATCACAAAATCTGCTTTAAATAGTTAAAAACTTTCTTCTTGTTCTCGTTCTAATCAAGTTTTACTGTGCAAGATCTTTATTTTTGTGCTTTTTGCATACTATTTGAAATAATATGTTGAGAAACATTTGCTGTAAAAGAATATCATGTTTATTATTTAAAAAAGACTTAAAAATTTTGGATACTTCTTAAAAAAATAAGATGAAAGCTGATGGAGAGAGAGATAACAACCATTGAGGCAACCCTTTGATTTTCAGCAAGATTCACAGTGAAACAGAGTATTTCCAATGTGACACATTACACGCGAAAAGCCACTATAGCACTGTCATGCACTGACAGTATTCACTCAGTTTCGTCCCTCACGACATGTAATGACACCCAGTCCAACTCTGCATGAAAGTAAAGTGCAGAACTTGAAGACCTATGCAATATAAGTACATATAACATCACAATTCAACACCAGCTGTGCAATTCTGAGACTACCGTGTTTGTGAAAAACCACCTGCTGGCTTCTTTCATAACTCATTTTAGCTACTGAAACTAGTTCCTACTGTATAAAACGTGCAACTGCTCAGCTATATTGGGAACAAACAATTCTGAACTTGCACCTACAGCAATTGCTGTTCACACAGTATCACCGGCAAGATCCTTGACACAACTTTTTTTTTCAGTCGGCTAATATTCAGTTAGACAGTTGCAAACAATTTCAAAGCAATCCTTTTCAAAGCAAGTACATTTGGTTATGAATGGAGCGAACATATAGCCTATTCCAGTACATCAGACACAAGCTGAAATCAGCTATAATCAGTTATATTGAACTTTTAGCTGCTCCCTGCTTTCAGGGGTCGCCACAGCCGTTAGCTCCACATGTTTGACTTGGTAGATTTTTTATACCGGATGCCCTTCCTGATGAAACCCTAAAGGGATCTGTTTTGTCTTCCCAGGATCAAACTGGGGGCTATTTGGCTTGTTGGGCAAATGTGTAAACTACAGTCAGTTATAGTGTCAAGTTGTGTTTAAATTGCCAGTCTGTTTTCACAATGATATCCATTTAAGTTGATGGATACCTTGTAACATGTATGTATTTGCTCTGCACTGTTCGGTTATAATAAAATTGTTAGCCATGATGGAGTTTATATCAATGTAAAGCAAGGACATAAAGACTGCAACTGCAAAAGAGAGCCGGTTGTAGCCCCGTTAAGGCACAATATTGAACTGAAAACGAGCAGGTCCATCCTTGATGTTTCTCTAAGCAAAAAAATACAAAAGAGATTTAAGACTGGCTTGTATTTCATTTATAAGACACTTAAGAGCTCGATATTCATACTATATAATACTATTATAATGTAGTGTCTGTTTTGCCATGAGGCACCAATAACCTGTAAATATGTGTGCGTCTGTTCCCTTTTATCTTTGGCTTCTCTTCACTATGGAGACAGTAAAACATTTACACTAAGGTCCTGTAAAGCTACTCAACATCCATTTATCTGGTGATTACTTTGAGAAAAGACTGATTTTAGACATGATTTTCTACAAGGTAATCTTGGTGGTAGGACATTCATTTCAGCCCATTGTTATAATGATGGGTTGCATTTATATAGCGCTTTTCTAGGCACCCAAAGCGCTTTACAATTCCACTATTCATTCACTCTCACATTCACACACTGGTGGATGCAAGCTACAGCTGCCCTGGGGCAGACTGACAGCAAGTTGTTGCTGCAACTTGCTACCCACAGATATTTATGTTCCATCGGTCTGCATGCCAGGACAAAAACAGCTTGGGGAGGTCTCAGATTACTTGGTATTGTCAATGCATCAATATAATTTCCATATCTATGCATAAAAGTCTAAACTGTCCACTTCTAGGCTCGCTGAAACAGTAAATAGTTAGTCTCTGTTTCCTCAATGCAAAAGAGTAAGGAGTCCGAGCGGAAGTAAAAGGCAAAGAGGCCAAGTCCCTAATACAGAGGAGGCTCTATTGGGCTCTTTTTCTTTCAAAGTACAGTCATCACCCCTGTACCCACTGTAGCACTGGCACTGGAAGTGCTTGTGGAAAAAAGTCTTCTCAGTTTGGCTGAGCATTCCTGTAACCTTGAGCTGGCCACTCTGACTAGTTATCTTGTGTGTTGAAGGGCTGAGATGCAGATATATATCGCTGTCCAATATTCTGCGAAGACAGCGGCCGCTGAAATTACATAGCACACGACTGCAGTGCTCTGCTGCTGTGGACACATTGAGCAGGTACCGACCCAGCGGTCCCTTAAGATAATCATTTAGGCTTGAGCAGTTGGCCTGGAAGACAAAAAAGAAACGTTAACTTGACTTACCACTAATCACCAAGCAGCTCATCATCAAAGAAGCATAGAAAATACTGTTCTTACACTGCTGCTTGCATGAGAGGTGTCGCCCCAGAAGATTACACCTGCAGCTCCAAGTGCAACACTCTCACCGATTGTGGAGACCAAATCTGTCTAAAAACAAAAACAGTTCAGGGCTGTTCAGTGAAATCATACAGTAACCTGTGTTTTAGTAGGACAGTCAAATATACACACATTTTATATCCAGTACTAATGTCTAGTTGCCAGTTGAATGAGATTTCCTAACAGCTGTATATGGAAGGTGTAAGTGACTATAAATACTGATTTAATTTTATAATAACTCCACCAAAACATTAAAATTGAGAACCTGAAGATGGTCATGCTGAAGGACAACAAATTGGTGTGTCTCCGTCAGAAACAGATGGTATAGTTTTATTTTTTAAAAAGTATATTTATGTTCATCAAATTTAGGCTAATGTTGGCTTTGTTTGCTTGTGTGTTGTTGCATAATGTAAATATAATAATAATAATGATGATCTAAATTAAATCACACTTGTATTGATCAAAGTGTAATCGTCTTGTATAAAATGCTGTTCTAGCCAACTAACCTCAGTTAGAAGAGTCGTTTGACTGATATAGGTAGGTCGGGTGTAAACATAAACGGGACGTGCTAATCCATCCCCAACAGATGCCAGGCGCATTGCCTCCTTCACCCTGTTCCGGACAAAAAGGCGCCCTTGGCTCGTTGAGCGTAGCACAGGTTCCATGTATACTGACGGGAAAAGTGCTGTACATTCCATCCACAACCAGTTGAGATGATTATTGCGGTCCACCTCCACTGAAGGACAGTGGCCTGTGTAGTTTTGCAGACCATTCTTGTTGTAGTCATGGTTGTAACAATCTGGAAACAGGTAGAAGCCCCACAGCTGATTGGGCCTCATATTCTTGGCCAGTTTCAAAGTCTCCTGCATGAATCTTTGAGCCGATAGCTCAAATTCTTGTTCTGCAACTTTCTCCACTTGTTTTGAGGTCCATGTAGGGTTCTTTTTGGCTATCATTGCACAGGATTTATTTCGATAGATAAGTTTAGCATCCCAATTTCTGACCCATATAGGGCGCCACTCCTCCCAGTCAATAACAGCCAAACCTTTTGCCCCTGGCACTTTTATGTATTTTTTAAGGCCTTCAGGCATCTTTTTTGAGTGCTCAGTGAGGCTGACAAGCTGTGGAAGGCCTTCATTCACCGCACTGCCATCATGCTTATAATAGGGATACAACCCAAGACGTTCCTTATAGAAGATTGTAAGGTTTTGCCCCACAAAGCCCTCATTAGGGGTCGCTACAATGTCAAACTGGCTCAAAGATAAGGTTACTCTATGTCGTGGTTCACACTCCTGTGTTGGGGCATTCCAGGCAAGAAGAACTGGCTTCTGGGTATATAATGGCCTTCTTGTCTGCTTTATATCTGCAGAACAAAAGGCTGTCCACGATGTAAACACAGTCAGAAGCAACCAGGGCAGCTGGCCAGTTGTGGTGAAGAAAGGGTGAAATACAGCCTCCATGGTTACAGCTCACCCTTCACCCCTCTTTGTCTGTAAAAGACAAAGCAGTTTTGTTAAATTCAGCCAAAACCTAAACGAAATAGTTCAAATCTTAGATATACAGATATGGAAATCGTTCGCAAGCAAAAGCGCTTGCGAGCTTTGCTCACAAAGGTTTCTGTGAGCTATTACTACATTATTACCTCATTACTCATTTGTATTTCCAAATAATACCAAATAAAGTAATACAAAAAAACTTCCTCTATTCTTCAGGAAGGAAATTAAAACTACTTTTACTTACTTTGAAAATAGTTGTGGGAGGATAGCTAAATAGGCTACTGGTAAAAATGTAATGTTAACATATATATACATATATATAAATATATATATATATATATATATATATATACACTTAAAAAAAATACATTACCGAACGTTACCTCGCCGTTAGCTCAAAGTTTCATTGAAACGGACTACCGTGCTAAGTTAGCTAACGGCTGTCTTCTTCGTGTCCATTCTAACCTGTTCCGCTGAAGCCGAGAAGTTAAGTTTATTCCATTCATGTAATCGTCGGGTAAGTTATTTTCCACTGCCCTGCCATGTGAGGAATAACCTCACTTTTTTCTATGCATATCGATGACTACTAATTAATCAATTCTCCCAGACCATGGCAGCAGTTGAGCAACAACAGTTCACTGCATTTACTTCCTGAGCAGGGGGGTGTTCAGTTATTGAAAGACGTATTTTATCCGCCTTTTCCCGTTTATCTTCCCAACAGTGTTTTTATCATTTTACATTACTTTACAGAATAAAATATTTCACCATGATCACAGCTTCATATGGCTTGAATTTGAGGGCAAATGTACATAGCAGTAAAACCTACTCCCCTCCTCGTGAAGTTAGCCTGTTCTCCGAGTTCTGCCCCGAAGGAGGTTTCACTGATAAAAGCGAATCTTAGATTAAAATCTAGTATTTTGCTCCTGATTTAGATCTGATTATCACCCTAACCTGAATGGATGAACTGCAGCACTCGGAAGTGGAATGGAAAGGTTATTTTGCTTCCTTTTGTTTAAACAAGAGCTTTATAAATGCAAACTAAAAAATATTAACTATACGAAAGTTTTTGCTTAAAAAAAAGTCTAGTATCCATGATATAGTGTATTTAAATCGATATGCACTATAGATTATTGATGCATTTTCATCAACTAGCTTAAATGACCAGCAGATCACACTAAATTTTGGAAATGGTGACCTCTCAGTTTTATAGGCTTAGTTGTGGAAATAATGGATTCTATGCTGAGGTTTAAGAGACATCTGCATTGGTGCTCTGTAAGAGAATGTTTTTACAGTGAGGTTGATTTGAATTGTTAGGCAGTTTAGAGCGAGAAAAACTCTCATGTGCAGTGGTCCCCTGCATTAAAATATAATTGATAGCATCAGTTATACATCTCAAGATATTTTTTAAACACTAAAAAGTGCTATGCCACTGCTGTGAATACCTTCGATTTCTTTTTAAAACTGTAATTTTTGAAAAGAGTAGTAATTATGTGTCTTACCAGCAGTCTTTTCTTTTACTTTATAATCTCCAAATGAAAGTGGATCAATCAAGCTGTCCACTTGTTAAAAATAAATACAGCTCAGTCCTTGTGCTCTGTGCCAAGAGTCTAGAAAGTTCTCCTAAGAGATCTGTCTAACAGAGGATACAAAAACAGTTGTTCATTGCTATTTAAATGTCCAGGAAACCCCACCCACTAAGTTGCACACGCAAGTGCAAACTCCTCACTTTATACTCTTACCTGGTCTTAATTTTAAAGCGTGGTAGTTAATATGGGAAGCTACTTTCATCACTAAAACTCAGTGGTGTGACTTTACTTCTCAAACAGGATTTCTGCCTGCTGGGTCTTACATGAATCAAGTGTAAATTTTACATGGGTAGGCCACATTCACACAAACACATTGGGTTTTGCAAAACAATACATAATCCAGTGCGAGGATCCTAATATATGTTGTCAGGATCATGGTAAGTAATATCACAGTAATTTAATACTTACTGTGACACTTGGAGACACACAGACTGCTCCCTTTCAGCTAATTAAATCAGATTACTGTAAGTGGTGGGTTCCTGCTAGGCTGCATCTGAACATAGTTTTCAGTCTCCTCTGTGAAAAACAGGAGTCTGAGACCTCTTTCTCAATAAAAATGTATGCAATCTATATGTGTCCTCCTGAGCTGTCAAGAAGACAGCCTGAGCTTTTTGTTTGCAGTGATTTGACCAACATACAACACTGACTTTCTTCAAAGTGACCGGCATTGCAACTTCCACTTTTTATAGCAACAAAGGAGATTAACTGATGTCTTTGCAGATATTATCTTTGTGTTGCTAAAAATGTTCTTCTATCTTAAATATGAGATTATTAACATCAACTTAGTACTGAAATAGTACTATAAACAGCAGGAGTCTCATTTTCAACCTACGCCCATACTTCAGGAAGCAGAATGCTGAGTGAGACAGAAAGGATTGTACTCAAAATTGTAGAAGGGGAGTCAGATGTATAAGTATCACGGGAGGAGGTGGAGAAGGGCCAGACGCTAGAACACGAAGGTGAGAGCTCAGAGAAAGACAGCAGCTTTCGAGGAGCATGAGCAGGAACAAAGTGACAGCACCCGCCATCCATTACGAATACAAATAAACATTTAGTCTAGAGCTCTAAAAAGTGGAAATTAGAGCCTTTTTAGTTGAACACACACACACACACACACACACACACACACATGCATAAATTCAGTTTAAAATCAGCTAAAACGTTAATTTCTTAAACTGTTTATTCTGTTGATTTGTTTATTTAATATTAGCTGTGTGTCCAGTAAACTCTACCTCTCCTTTCTTTATCAGTCAGAAGACTAAAGATAAAACTGTAATTTTTGAAATAATGTGTTTATGTATTTGGTAGGCACCCCATTAGCATCGTTCTAAAGCACAGCTAGTCTTAAATACATTTGGTTAATAGGATATTTGCTGCATTTAAAGTTGATGTATTTAAAAGTATAAAATAATGTAAAAGTTTTGGGGGGGTTTTTTGTTAAAACTTTTGAGTTTTACTTTTTTACTTTACACTTTACAGAGTTTCTGGTCCCTGTTTTGATCTTATTATTTTGCTGGTATTGTTTCTCCTCATCACTGGGCTTGTTCCTTCTGTCTTCCACTCTGTCTGTGTCATGTTTAAGTCTTCCTGTCTCGTAGCATTTATTACTTCCACCTGTCTTTTTTATGCCTCGTGTCATGTCACTCATCAGTCCGCAGAATATAAAAATAGTCCTGTCCTTGTTTTTTGCCCTTGTCAGACTGTTTCCCGTTGCATTCGGTGCCTCTTTCCACACATCTTGATAAGAACATTGTTGAAACTGTGTTTTTCTTTTTCTTCCTTTAAACACAAAATGTATTATTCCAAAAGAGCATTTTTTAATGTGTCCACCAGAAACTCCAAGTAATATGTAACACTTTGCCGCTTGTGACCTCTGATTGTTATCGTGTCAGGTTTTCAGCAATAACAAATGAAATGTAAACTAGACTGAGGTGCACGTTTTCCACTTAATCCGAATCCACCCAGTTATTTTCCACAATCTGAGTTATCGACTCTCTTTCCTTTGAAAAGAGTTTTTATAGAAAAACTCATCAACATGCTTATAACAACAAAGCACATATTTTCATTCTTGACCTTTGTAACCCAATTGTGCTATTACTTACACCTTAAGAAAAAGCTGTCAGATATATCTATTAGAAGGTGGAATAATTTAAATACTCCTTTAAAAAGACAAAAGAATATATTGACATTACTGCATGGCTTAAAATGTCATGTGACCTGTCAGCAAAACCAGAGGATATGTGGTTTGCAGAGTCAATTTCATTAATCCTGAGACTGCAATTCACCTCGTGGCCTTTTATATTTGTTCAGCTGTGAGAAAACAAACAACAAAAAAGTAATAACATGGCATGTCTTCCCCAGACTGAAAACAGTACGTAACCACAGAGGGGGCAGGGGGAAAGCCCAAAGACTGCAGCAGAGACACTTCATAAAAGCAATAAAGTGTAGTGGATTTTGGCACTCAACTCTTTATCCTCTAAGAAGAGCAATATTAGACAGCTTTGTCAAAAAACCCTTTCCCATGGTGACTGCATTGATAGTCTTTACTTCTGTCTTAACTTCATCCATAACTCATTAGCAGATGCTCTTATACACGCTTTACATCCAAGTGCTGGTTTGCCATCGCAATTTCCTCTACAAGTGCCTAATTTCGTTGCAGGTGGAGGTCAAGAGCGACATTTCAAATACACATCCACCTTCAGCTCACTCCAGTGTTTAAAAACTCTGTAAAAAGATTCAACTGCCTGTTATATAAAGGATTATTTGCCAAATAGTTTCTATGAGCTTTGAGTGTTATATAAAAGTTTATCTGTCTTTAAATAATTAACTCTTTTACTGAAGTCAAATTCAAACAGGATAGCAAAGCCTTGGCAAGTCAAACTACTGAAAACTTAAAAGTACTCCAATCCAATCCTCAAAACTTGAAATATTTTAAAACCTTTAATAACATAATTTAATTTGATTACTTGTATTAAAACTCATGAAAAATGCAGTGTCCACCAGGGCCAGACTGATGGCTTTATAGTCATGACTCCACATTCCCAGAAAGCACCTGAATAGTTTCCAAGATTAGTTGATGCCATTCCCATGCAGCTCTAAATTCCAAGAGCTAACCACATTACAAATGTCAGGTGTGGTTACCATATATGGCAGGGGCTTTAACCCCCTCCCCTTGCTAGAAGATCTTAATTTCCCACCATGACCTCTGTGTAATTAAACTGTAGTTATCTATCCATCACTGTTAATATAGAAACCCCGACGACTGTCTAGGGCCAAAAAAAAGCACAAAAAAAAGATTAACATGAGTGTCCATGTTAATCTTCTTTTGTCTTCACTGCTCTTATTAATTTTTACTGGAACATTTCATAATGAACTGTGATTGTGTGAAGTTACGGTACATTGAAATGTTCATCTGTAAAGTTTGGATACAGAAAAGGAATGTGATTTAATTCAGCATTTTATTTTGTAATTAAAAAACAGTTATAATAAATTAAAAGTTAAACATTGTATGTCAAACCAGCAAAGAAAACAACAGGATCTGTCATTAGACTCACTGCTGCGGTGCACATCTTGTGGCTCTGAGGTCACTGAAGCCAGTCCTTCCAACATTAAATTGTGACATTAAGGGTTTGTGAGCCACTGATTGTCAACTCATTGGGCTGTCCCATAAGTAGATCCTGTTCCATGCATAATGAAGCGAGTCATAATGTCAAAAAACGTAAGTGTGCACTGGCAACTTTTCAACTCTTGCTCAGACCCCTTTGGAGGGAAGAACATTACATTCTCCTTCAACTCTTTCAGTTTTATGAATCAAACCAGAAGACAATCTACTGCTAAATATTCAGGCCTCAGTCATGTGTCATCCCTAATCTGCACACAGTCACACTTACATGCACACAAACCAAGATCTGTAAACTGATTTTCCCCAGCTTGGCACCAATCTAGATCCCCACTGGTGACCTATTTTGTGTCTTAACTGCACACAAGCCAAAAACAGATCACATGCAGAGGCTCAGCACACAATGCATCAGCCTGTCCACATAAGGGCATCAAATATATCAAGAGATCATGTTATTTTGAAAGGTGGTTCGGGCTTCCATCTGCAGTGGAAGCCGAAGGACGGACTTGACACAGTGGCTAGTCCGAGACACTCCTCAGACATTGTCAGGCTTCACAGATGACAACTGGGAAATCTACATGGATGCACGGATGGTCCAGCTTTATAATTCCCTGTGAGGACACGAGAAAATAAAACGATTTGGACACATGCTACAGAGATCTGGTGTTAGTGTGTAAAGTCTTGCTTTAAATTTTTAATTTCCTCACCTGAGGTGTGAGGTTTTTCTGAATCTTCTTCAGCTTCGCTTTTTTACGGCCGTTTCTTGTCACAATCGTCTCTTCGTAGAACTCATGGGCCAAGTCACCGTCTTCATCAAAGAACATTGAGCTGGAGCAAAGACACAAAATTACTTGCACACAGTAATTATTTTTAATACACACAAGCTAGCTTGCTTCTTACGCACATATTGTGTAAATATTTCTGGTCCACATACTCTAATTTGTGTATCACAAAGAACACTACATCCACATAAGTGTGGTTTTAAGATGTCAAACTTAAGGTGTCAGAATACACCTTAAGCCACTTCCAATTCATGTGTGATGTGCAAAAAAAAGAAGAAAGAAAGAAAGAAATGTTGGCTAAAATGAAAACAGTGTCTTCCTGTGGGTTAAATGGCTGGTTTTAAAAGGTTAACAGTGTGAGGGGGAAAAAAACAAAAAACACCCAAAACAAAATGAAAAGCAAACAACCAGCTCAGTATAAAAGTGGTGCGTAAGAGGGTAGTTAAAACCACTACAGGTCTGTTAAAGTCTGCTTGTGTCCAGTCTAAATACAGTGTGGAGAATAAAAATAGTGAACACATTAGCAGGGAGAACAACGTCAGCTGATCTGGTGTGATTCACTGGTTAAACACCATAAATCTTAGGACTTTATCTTTTTCTCTCTCAATAGTGTTGGCCAAAGGTTAATGTGTAACTCTGTTTCACCGAAAACATTTTTACAGAGAACATTTTCAACCATTCTTTACGTTTTCCCCCCTACGAAAGAACACACTGTATCACATTACTGTTAAATATTTTCAAAATCATCACACACATACATGGCCCAGTTTAAATAAGGCTGGACAACATGCATGAAACAATCATTTTAGAGCACTGCTTTTGAGTTGGAACCTCA